GTTGTGTCGGCAATTGGTAGGAAGCCTTGAACCTAGATTTTGTGCTAATTAGCACTCGCCAGCAAGACGTATCTGAAACCTAATCACTAGCTAGTGTCCAATCAAAACACCTAATACAGTCCTGCAGGAGGTCAATCGCGAGGCCGAAAACCTCAGTGGTAACGTCTCTGACTGCAACACTGGATGACGCGGGTTCAAATCTCAGAAGGGACATGAGTTCCTTCAAGGTTGCAGATACGCCTTGCTGACTGATGGGTGCCAACAAGCACGAAACCTAAGTCTGAGGCTTCCTGTCGATTTCCTCCTAACATCCTAATATCAACAATAGTTCTTTTACATTAGTCATTGATGGCATGTTATTCTGATGTGTCTGAATGTTCCTGTTTACCTTTAGCATCTGAATACACGAAGGTAAACTTTAAGCAGCAAAGGACTGTGATAGCACCGATGACCTTGGAACGCTTAGTCAACAAGTTATTGAAGCCAGATGAATAACACTATAATCATGGGTAAAATAGGGTAAATTATTTATTACGAAATTAAACAGGATATCTGGTAAACTTTAGGTAAGATTAAGTTAAGGCCCAGGCTAAGGACAAGTTAGGTTTGCTCAAACCCAATATAAGAGATCAAAATCGGTGATAGTTTCACGTTGAAGTTAGGTTAAGGAAACGCTGAGGTTAGGACACCTAGATGAATACATGAATACGGAATATTGTTTAATTTCTCTGTTGACATGCTAATGCAAGTGGAAGAAAGATATTCCGTGTAAGAGTTTCATGCCTTTTTATTCATTATTTTGCATAAATAGAACGTATTTTATACGCAAAAATCGCCTTTTTCATGTGATTTGTACGTTCAAGTTTATTGGCATGTTGCCCATCTGGAAAACTTGACTTTTGAAAACAGCCGTAAACGATGAATCAGTACATATGCCCAACTACCAAACATATACATTTATGTTTTTTAAACGATCCGACTTTTTTTTCTTAGCCTTTCTAGTGCCTGTTTACTCTTATTATTAATTCAAGTGTTGGTTTGTAGGGATTTGATTTGTTACAGGACTTCATCATGAGTTGACATCAGTTAGAGAACCATTGGGACTTGAACATCAATCCGATACTCACCAGCGACTGGCCCTATTCATGTAGAAAAACAATTCGTGGCTAGTGCGGTAGACCGGGTCAGGTTTGAGGATAGATACTCTCCGATGACATTAGCTAGTGGCCACGCTATATCGTGAATTGGCAGAAGATAGAATTCATGGACCATTGGATCAGGTCCCAGCGGTTTAATGGTCTACGTAGCTCGTGATGTATCAGGAAGGTCCTGGGTTCGAACCCTGGTATGTGAGCACTGATGAAGTGTTCCCGACTAGGGTGAAACAGCTGTCCAGTACTCGCAGGTGGTTTTCCAATGGTTCTCTAACCGATGTCAGCTCAGGATGAAATCCTGTAACTCATTAATACTTATTTCCCTTTCTGTAGTGTAAAGTAATTTGGTCTGATACATGTTCTAGCTATTTTCTGATCATACGATCAGTGTCTTTGACTTCATTTAACAGATTTTGTAAACTATACACTATACAGAGAAGATAAACCCAAAAATTCTTTTCTTCAAATTTCAGCTTTACAATGTTTGAAATCCTGTTCATTTTTAATTTTAACCTCGTCAACTGGCCAGTTTCACTTAACACACCATAGTGAAACAATTACACTATCAGATGTTGTTGAGACTGTCACAAATCCCTAGTGTTTTCTTCATTACAAGTGCTCTATTTGCGAAAACATGAAGCTACACTTACTCGAAGGGTTATCTAAGGGTTTTTCTCTGAGTCGTAATGAAAGAAACCAAGAAGGTAGGTGATATCAACACTAGTAATCATTAAAAAGTAGCACAGTTAACAATGTATATTGTGGAGACGTGGCTCAATGGCTTACGCACTTGGTTTTCAAGCAATAAGACACAGATTCGAAACCCTATCCACCCGTTTCAGCCCGAGAGATTGAGTAGGGCCTCAAGGTCAACCGTATCTTCGTGTTATATATAGACTGCCATTCTACAACTTTGTCCTGGGTAGTATCATCAGCCCTAAGACGATAAGTATGGCTCCATACGTCAGTACACAGAAAATCTGTTCCAGTTAACTGAGTTCCAACAAACGCTTTACAGAATGGTTTCGAAGACAGAGCCTAGTAAAATTCATCAATGCCTTGGCTTTAAGTTAGCTAGAAAGGAGAGCGAAACTCACGAACTGAAGTCAAGCTTACAAAATTCTCTTTTTCTGCAACACACATGTTTAGTCCTATAAGTGGAGAAGACCTAGGATCACCAATGACAACGAATGCTTACTATCTCTTCATTTATACTGTCAAAAAAGGCATATTTAGGAAGTAACTTTTTTATCTTGAGTTATAGGCACAATATCGTGTAGATGAAGTGAAATACAGACTATCAAACGATGATATAAGCAGAATACTTTTCAAGTTACCAAGAAGCTTAGTGATTGATTTCTTGATAGTCACACTAATAAAGTATGTCATGTTAGCTAATTACAATTTACCTATGACAAATTACACATTCCACAGTTCATCAGAAGTGAAGATACACTAAGTACCAGTTATCTATTTTCAATAGACTACAGTCATACTGGTGCCTAATAGAGATTTTAACAAACATCACCAAAACGATCTTCTTAATATCACACTACCATATAATGATTTCAATAAGATTTTAAGATATATGACAATACTAATAATAGGCTTCAATTCTAGTATAAGTCTAGAAAAGAAAAAAAAGTATTTTATGTACTTAATTAATCCTGATAAATCTAAAGAAATGACACTATATTCATCAACTTTTCAATGAAATAATCATTATCAAGGTATGTGTTCTATTGTTTGCTCTTGTTTTTCATTAACAATAGTTCAGTCTTTCTGTTTTATAACGAATTCACTGGTACGGAGGTACTTAATGACTTAGAATATGCAGTTTACGCCGTCTTAGCGTAGACATGATATCTGGCTATCGACTAAAGGGCGTGTGTACTGCTCATCGGTCCGCTCCGTCCTCCTTTATGGCTGTCAGACCTGGCCGCTGAGAGTAGAAGATATGAAAAGACTAGCTAGCAGTCTTTGATCATAGGTGCCTGCGTTCTATCTCCCGTGTGAAGTGGTATGATAAGGTGAGTAATATTGAGGTTAGGCGTCGAGTTCTAGGTAAGGAGGGGAAATCAATCTACAAGGCTGTGAAATTACATCGACTGAGATGGTTAGGACATGTGTTACACATGCCTAGTCATCGCCTTCCTCGACAATGGGCTATGTTAGCTGACATAGGGTCAGGTTCGACAAGAGCTAGCGGCGGTCAAACGAAAACATGGCACCAGTCAATGAAATCCACAATGGTTAGTTTAGGCCACGTAGGAAGGTGTAGACTTCCTGGTTGGTGTCCTCGGGACGGTAAACACCAATGGCTAGAAACAATTGGTGATATGGCTCAAAATCGTTCTCAATGGCTAACGCAGATGCATCCACTCCTTGTGACTTATAATACCCAACAAAACTATATTGTTCTTCGTTATTACCATCCTTTTGTCTCATATCTCTTTTTACTGTCTCTATTATGCATTTCTTTTTACTTTCTACCCTTGCTTTGTGTGCTACATAGAGTGTGGCTACTTGAACTGCTGCACATCGGTGCAAAGTTCTATGTCGAAAACAGACAGACAGATGGAGGTGGTGAAAATAATCAACTAACAACAAAAAGTATCAATCACTATCAACGGAATAAATTTGAAACAGGTCACTCGCTTCACTTATCTGACCAGGCAGCATCGTTTCAACTACACGGGTGGCAGCACAGATGTGGGAAAGGTAAGACAGAGCATCATCGCTCTGATATCAGTTTTTAAAAAATATTCTGAACTTAGCAGGATGAAACAAAATCCGGATTTTCAACACCAATACTAAGTTAATTCTTCGACTTGCGTGTCACGAATAGCATTTCCAACAGTCTGTGGCAAATTTTTTGTCAACAATTGCCTTAGCTCCCTGCTGAGAATCAGATGACTAACTGGAAAGAATTATCAACACGAAACTCTGGGAACGAACTAGTCAAGTGTGGTGAGAGCTGGCTGCCACTCAAAATCAGTAGACAGTAATTTACGTCAATGTTTACGTCCCCAATATTGGTGGTGAGAAAAATAAGAATAAAGACTGATTCATCAACAATCACTCACAGCAGACTTTGCGTAGGCAGATACAATTTGCAGATAGATAATCCGAACATCAAGAAATGAACACAAAGAGATGAAAGATTAACGTTCAACGAGAAACCACCAATCAGAAGACTGTGTTTGTTCGCTTACAATAATGTATAATAATGTACATGAAAATCTATAAATATCTGTTGATTTCCTAAATAAACGATCTGTTGTCTGCTCCTTGTCTTCTTTTGTTACACAAGAACTCATTACTCAACAAATATGCCGTAGGAAATGTAGATGGATCGGACACACTCTGAGAAGACGATCAAATGATACCGTACACCAGGCCATAGCACGAATGGAACCCGAGTGGGAAACGACAAGTGGGACGTCCGATGGTGATATGGAAGAGATCGTGTGACACGGAGGAGATGAGAGCTTAAGGGCAATCTGAAGGCAATCTTAAGGGTCAGGTGAAGAGGAGAGTAGAGAATAGGAAAAAGGAGAGATGGGTTGTTGAATCCTTATGTTCAGCTTGGGATCAAAAAGAACAATAATGATAGTAATAATACACTGGTATAAATCTGATCACTTTTTTTCAACAATTCATAGTAATTACCATTGATACATCATATTCATCATACAAATACATATAATTCACTTTGGCAGAGTAGAAATAAGCACATCCTACAGTGAATAAACATAGAACAATAAGAAAATAATAACACTAATAATAAAAACATGCTGATATACAGATAATTCTTCTCTCTCTCTCTCTCTATGTCTCTGTCAGTTATCGTTTCCCTTCAACCATAATAATATGATAACCGAATTGAGTTTTCACTGGTGGATCTGTATACTTGGGATTTTCTAAAGTTGATACTGGCAAAGCAAATGCTGCATCCTTTAATTTCATGTTAGAAATTTTGTTTATTTTTATTCAAAGAAAGAAAACAAAAACAAAAAAAGTGGCATAATCAGTTAGCACGAACAAAAGAAAACTCTATTTTTTATTATGTTAAAATACCATAACAAACAATTGCTATACATTCAAATGAATAATAATAGCACAATGAAAGTTTAAAATTCATGAAAGATAATTAGATAGACAAATCAAACTATTATTATTTTTTTAATTCCTTGAATTCCAAGTTGAGCATTGGGTCTTCAGGCCTATATTTAAAAGTTTTGTGATAGTGATGCTAATTTCTACAGTGGGTAGAACTGCTAATCTAACGCACAATCTTTCCTTATCTTGGAGCTTACTACCGACTAGACAAGGTTAAAGAGCATGTCGGTTGGGAATCGAACTCACACCTCTTGATTGGGGCTGGCTGACGAGCATTACACAATTGAGGTGAGGTAATGGGTGGATACTGGTGAAGAGTCTCAAAAACTGGGGAAACAGCTGTCCACAACTCCCTAGTTTTCACTAGTTCTGTAACTGAAGCTAGTTTGTTATGAAGGTTGACAAAACAGTGACCTAGATTCTACAAATAATCAACACCAATTAAGAAACAAACTATATTGTGCATCCTATGGTGTGTAAAGCTGGTTATAATCCACCGTTCGCACACTAACCTGATTCAACTGGAACACTTACGGAACATGCTGAACCTATAGAGAATTTGAAATGTTAACCATACAAGCTGTATTATGTGAATAAACTTTTATAACTTTAGATTCAAGTGTAACTTTGTAGGGATTTAATTAGTTTTAAGTTTGATCACGGATTAATATCATTTGGGGAATCAAGCCTCGTGTTTTCGACTTCCCTGGGACAGAGGCTTCATGCTCCTCACTCTGTATAATCAGCGCCAGACACTCATTCACTCTTCTACTCTAGAAATAATCCCCCATTCTTCTGAATGAAGGAAATGATTAGAAATAATTGTTCTGTACAATTTACGCGCGCGTCAGTTATCAGTGATCTAGTGTTAAATCACTGGCCAATCACCCAAGTGGTCCGAGGTTCAATCCTCGGCTGATGGCACTTTTTACTTCGCTAAACCGATAGTAAGGCTGAGGTAAAGAAAGGGAGGTTGGGCAGGAGGCTAGCCAGCCTACCTCATACAAACAACATCAATGCTACTGGAACTTCAAAGCTCTACCTTGAAACTCTATTTTCCACCGGAATAAGAAGAAGAGGCTTTATGCAGTAAACCAAATTTATCATTTTACTCCAAGATAAATTTAATCACGAAAAAAAAACAATAAATTTGTTTTATTTTAACTATTAGAATCTATAAGTTTCAGAGTATTCTATAGACATTTAGTGCTGGATTACATATATCTATCTATATGTGCGCGTACACCACATGACAATCTTATATTATCATAGTGTCTGTATTTAAAATACAAACAATTTATTCGATATAAGGTGACTTTTGTTTACTCTTTCTTTTACATAGTACCAGTTGGTTACAAAAAAAACACACAACAAGAATTATCTTACATCACACTTTTGTAAGGAACCATTTCATTATGCTGTTGTTTAATATTAATAATAATAATAATAATGACTTTATTGATTAGTTGTTATGTTTATTTGATTACTAATCACAGTTTATATTTTGGTAGTTATTTGGTTGGCATTACTGAAGTTCTATGAGAGTTCAACAAATTCAGTTTCATGAATGATTGAAACACATGAACTTTAAACAAATATCACATTGAGCAACCATCTATTGGTCTCTGAGAAACAGGAATAACAGAAGCACTGTAAACATAGGACTCGGAACTATTTTTTTTCCTTCACGTACCCCAGTGGAACATAGGGCTTCAAGCTAGAGGCTTAAAGTTTCTGTAGTAGTGTTTATTTTACAGGATGAGGTTGCTAGCCTCATGCCCAACCAGTATTATTTCTGGCTTAGCGAGGTAAAGGAGTGAGTCGGCCGGGGATCGAACCCCGGACAATGAGCATGATCCTAACCGCTATGCCACCGACGCTCGGAACTATAATACTATAGATCATCTGTTTGTTGTAATAATTACCTATTGTTGACTGATCAAAGCATTTGATTTGATTTGATTTTACTCTGTCGGTATATTGGCTGGTTACACACAGATACCTCAGAAGCGCCATTTTATCGTTTATCTAGGATGATGTTTAACAGTCGAATTCATTGTATGGTGGAACTATTGAGTTGAATTTACTTATATTCTTATGTATGATAGTTTTTTCCACCGAGACTTGAATCCACCATTCATCCATTTTAAAAGCTAAAGTGTTATGCACTAGGCTACTTGAAGGATAATTCAAACAATACTACTGAAATAGTTAAGCGGATAAAGATAGAAGATAATAAATATCACAGAACTGGGTGTCATTTGATAAAGAAAGAGAAAAAGCTAAACAAAAACAAAGCGATACACATGAGTGAAACTAAAATTAGAACGATCCAGAGTTATATCACACCTAAACTCGTTAACTATTGGCTTCTATCATCTGTCTTACAAGACACTAACAATGAAGCAGGGTTTTCATAGCATTGATCGTATGTACTTAAATTGTAAGACGAAGATAAGCAAAAGTATAAGATAATTCCATATTTTTTTTCTGAACAGTTATTTTGTAGGGATTTAATTACCTTCAAGTTTGATCACAAGCTGACATCGGTTAGAGAACCAGTGGGAAACCGGAGAGTACACAATAAATGTTTCGTCTGAGTCTAGGACTCTTCATCAGTACGCGCCAACTAGGATTTGAACCCGAAACATACAGTTACACAAGAAAGCTTGTAGATCATTCAACCACTGGGACGCGATCGCAACTCCTACTAATTCATGATTTTAGCACTACCACTAGCCACTGTCATCGGCGAGTAATTGTCCTTAAGCCCGATCTGGCGGACCTCGCTGGCGACAACTTCTGATTAGAACTCCAGACAACTTCGTTCTGAGTCAGCTAGTAGAGAGCATCAGATTAATTCCCCAGAGTTAGTTTGTGGGGCTTTCATTTGTTTCAAGTTTTGCTGGATGGTCTACAAGCTTGCCTTGCAAGTACCCCGGGTGGATGCCAACTGATGAACAGTCTCAAACTAGGACAAAACAGCTATCCAGTATTCCCCACATTTACAATAATTCTCAAAATGACATCATCTCATAATCCATATTAATTTGGTTATTCAATTACCACATAGTGAAACTGTATTATCCACTGGTTAAACAGCTCATTGTTCATAAATGGTTGACTAATTATTATGATAATGAACAATGAAATATGCTTGAAAAGTCATCCAGTAAAATACAACTGATGCACTGTGTGATATATTCAACAAGTGAGTTAATATGGAACTACATAATATCAAAATGTTCAAGGTTTATACATGAATTAAAGTGTAAGATAAAATAGACAAATCAAGATGGGGTTATTAATCTTGACTAAATTAGATGATTGGGACATTATAAGAGCATTACTAATTTTCTCAACCCCAAACGGCAAAGTTAAACTTTCAGCACCACTAACTACCAGTGAGCGAATGACCTCAAACGCACCAATCACGTGAAAGGGGCATTTTTGTGTATGGAATACATATATTTATGAAAAAAAAATGCATAAAATCTGTAGAGAATTGTTATAGAGGATAACTTGATCTCCAATGTGATAAAAATACCCCTCACTTTTAGGTTGCATTATCAATAGAGTATAATTCCATTGCGGGTAAATTTATTTTGATAGAGTCTCACAGTGTAATAGAGTAATATCTACCGGGCAATAAACTGCGCTTGAAACGTCATCAGTAAATGTTACTGTATAATATATATATATATATATATTTTGATTACAGCTTGATTCCACACTGTATTTTTGGTACAAGTATGGAATTTTCAGCGTAGATATCGGTAGCCCAAATTTTGCAGGCCGACCATAGATATCAGGTGTGCGTCGGCGTGGGCTCGAACCTCGGACCATGTGCATGGTCGGCGAGAGTCCTAACCACTGTGCCACCGACGCAAAATAGATTTTACCCACAATGGAATTATACTCTACCACAGTGCACAAGTTCTATGCTTATATCAACAGAGTAATTTAACCACATTCTATGCATGTAATTATTTAGGTCTTCTAACCCTTACAATAACCCTAATCTTTCCTAAACCTAGCCCTAACGTGTAAATATGCCTAAACTAACCCTAATCTAAATTGAACTAACCCTAATGTTGCCTTTAATAGGTTAACCTAACCCTAACTTGTCCTTCGCTTAAAGGGTAACTTAATCTTTCCCAAACATGAGCTGAAACTTGTCAGATATTCCATTTAATAACATAACACTTCGATGAGGATATTTTATTGATGATGACAACATTATTTGCCAGGTTTCACTGACTTCCTCGATGCAGGTTTCAAGGTCATTGGTGTGGCTGCACTTCACTGGTAGTTAGTGGTGCTTATAGTTTAACTTGGCCGCTCAAAACTAGGGAAAACGGCTGTCCTTCTGGCTGGCAGGTACTACTGGTCCGTTGATGTGAATGGTGTCCAACTACTTATATAAATAAATCAGTAGTATATTAATAGCATCATTAGCTAAATAGCTAAAGAGTAATCAGATCAAAATATGATACCAATCCATAAAGTCTTTAACTGTTGTCTTAAGATATGTAAATAGTTTAGTTCTAAGTCACTAAGTTTAGATTTTTGCAACGTAAACATTAGCTGATTGGAGGATCTTGATGACATGACTCACAAAATGCTCACCATGATGCACATGCGTTTACTTTCAATTGTCTTCAAAATTCTAGACATTTCTGCCATTCTTCGCGGCACCATTCTGTTATAACACTCTAATCTGATTTCTCTGTCTGTCTATTTTATTTATTTTTGCAGCACTCAGAATAGTCTTTCAGAAAAATAAATAATCTTATGAAATATGCATTACAAATGTTATTTTAGAATAATTTAATTTCTGCACAAATTCATATCTTACATTTAATTTGTGGATGGTGACTAGTACTGGAATCCACGATGTGCGTTTCGTCCTATTTAGGCCACATCCTGGATTCCACTGCTAGTCACCATCCACAAATAAAATTATAATTAAATGCCCAGACATCGTCGAAGCATCTGCGCACAAGAAGCCGAGATGTCAACCTGAGACCGAGCACTTCGGTCCAATCAATCGACGGAAAAATCTAAAAAATTAAATTAAATTAATATGACCCGTTGCACAAGAGGTGGCTGTCGTGGCCAAAGCGATCTAGTGGATAACGCTTAGGAGTTTGAAACTATGGGCACTGGGTTTGAGCCACGGTGGGAGCATCATCACTCACTGCGTAATGCAGGTACATCCAGTTGACGAGTCCCAAATCAGACGAAATGTACATCCTGGATTCCACTCCTAGTCACCATCCACCACCAATTAATCATAATAGCAGTTTTGTTAATAACTACTAGTGGAATCCAGGAAGGCGAAAACTTATCATACCTCGTAGAAACAACACCGAAAAGTAAATAATTATTTTGTTTTTAACTCCTACTTTTTAAATAGTAGCTAAAAAAACAACAACAGCTTACTTGAAATGCACCAACCATTGAACCACGTGACATCCATCCTAAATCACCACCTGAACGTGCTTTATCCTCACTGTACATTTCTGCGACTTGATTAAAACGTTTACCATTTTTAAGTTGTTCTAAAGCTTCTAAACACTTGCTTTGCTTTTCACACAGTATATGACGCACCTTGGACAAAGAAAATTAAGAAAAGAATCAAAGTGTCGATAACAAGATTGAAGGAATTATTAATTTTTAAGGGTTGATTTGCAGGGACTTGATTCATATTTTCGTATTTGACGACGAACTGATATCAGTTAGAGAGCCACTGGAAAACACGGGAGTACTGAGCGGTTGTTTCGCCCTAATTCGGCACTCATCAGCAGTGCACAACCACCACATTTCGAGCCCAGGACCTTTCAGTTACAAGGCAATCTTGTAGAATATTCAGCCACTGGGACCCGACTCAATGGACAGCCCATAAATTCTAACTTCTACTAATTCGTGATTTTAGGGCTACCACCAGCCAATACCATCAGCGCGTGTTTGTCCTCGCCCCCGACAGGATGAACTCCACGATAAACTTGAATAATCCTTACAACAAAATTACTAGATTTGTGGGAAATTATTAGACGTTCAACTAAAACGGAAATAATCCAGATAATAGTGCAACTTAGTCGGTAGACACAAACTTCCAACGGACCAGAGCTATTAGCCATTTTTCTAGTGTAAGAGTTGACTAATACTATCTACTTCCTCAGCCTAATTGAAACAAAGAAGTCCATTTGAACTACTTCCTAGAATGACACTAATTAACAAGGAGAATGTTGGCGTTGAAGAAAGAAAACACGTAGAATTTATACCATTATTAAAACACGAAAACAAATCATAAATAATAACACCTCTATTCGATATATTTAAACAGCATTGGAAAAATAATAACAAATTTATTGTTGCAAGATAGTCAGCTGTTCACATTAAAGTATTCAGAAGGGTGGAAGGAATCGATAGAAAGTTCGGGACCTAAGTTTTGTGCTTGTTGGCACTTATCAGTCAGTCAGCAAGGTGTATCTGCAATCTTGAAGCAACTCCAGCTGCCTCTGAGTTTCGAACCCGCGTCACCCTAGTTCTGCAGTCAGAGACGTTACCACTGAGCAATCCGAGCTGGCGAGTGACCTCCTGCCGATTGCCTCTAACCCATCGAATACCAACAATTCACAGTGCACCGGGACGGCGAGCCATCTAGCATTGTGGTCACATTGTAAACCTGACTAACAGAATTCAGTTTGCCCTAAACCGACTGTTAGAAGCATGATAGTGATTACTTCCTAGGTGATGATAGAGTTCATACAGAGTTGAAAAGAAAACTGATACTATTTTTCTGTGTATTATCCAGAGATAAGGAGTCATGGTGAGAATTAATTAAAATCTGAACAATCTAACTGTATTACTCTAAAATAGGTAATAAACGGCACAGGTGAAAATGAATTGCGCATAGTCACCTTGATAAAAATGTCAAATATACACTATTATTGATGAGTTTATAGACAAGTAAACCTATAGCATAAAAGGCTAAAGACAAAAATATTGATAATTTGACTGGTATGGTAGTTTTATAATTTAGAAAACAGTGCAGGTCATTTAAATATTTCTGATTATTATAGGTTCACTATTTGATTCCATTGATAGCTTAATTTCCTTCCAAGGTTAAATATACCACTGACCACCATATACAAGTTTGAACAAAAATTGTAGTTAAAACACAGATGGCTTGAAATTGTACTATTTCTTTTCTAAAATAACATTATAAAAGCTTTACCTTATTATAAAAGAAAAGGTCACAGACAGAGCGAGTGAACAGACTTAACAACGTGGGTAATTAGATGAAATGTATGTGATCTTTTGAAATAAGACAATAATGTCTACTAGAAAATGAACAAATCACAATAAAGCAACCAGCCCAGGGTGGGTAGGTGTTTCTTCAATCAAGGAGAAATTTCATTGGTCAGCTTAATTGTTAGACACATAACAAACATGTGATTTGTCTATGTGATGATAGGGTGGTGATATGACTGAAGAGAGATGAGAGAGGAGTTGCTGGGTGGTGTGTCACGATTCATATATAACAAAACGTGAGGGTAGGAAATTCTGATTTTAAAAATATGTGAATCTTGCATGCACGCCTGTAACTACTGTCTACTTCCTATAATAAATCCAAAAGTAAGACAATGGACGAAAAATATTTCTAGCAAAAATGATGAGTTACTTTTACTGCGTTCGCTGTTTTCGACTGTTTTCCAGCGCTTCCTGATGATGATCCAGAATCTGTTTTGTTGGAAGTCTTCCCACCAGATTTAGAATTTTTTGCATTATCACCTTTACTAGCAGTATTCGATGCCTTTGGCATATTGATTTATCTGTATCCAATAAGAGCGAGAGATATTTAAAAAAAACTGTTATGAAATATCTACAGAATTAAAGAAGACAATTATCCAATCAATAAATGTTATCAAACCTACATTGAAAGTAATCCGAATTCCTACAAAATTCTATAACCCAACTATTACTTTCCAGGTCAGTGATGGATACTGGATAGATGTCCTGAAAATTCATGACCAAATGGGTTCAGCATATTTTAACAGTGAAGTGGATGACACCATCGAAGGCATCGGATTAGGGTAAGTGCCATATCACGAAATGACAGAAGTTGGAATTCACAGATCATCGAATCTCAACAACAACAACAAATGACTGAATGGCAAACGAGCTTCGCCTCATAACTTGAAGATCTCGGGGCTAATCCTTGGTGGGGGTGGGGTCGCAGGTACGTAATGCTGAAGAATCCCAAACTAGGACGAGACAGCTATCCACTGATTCCTGGTTCTCAGTGATACCCTAACTGGTGTCGGTTCGTCACGAAATCTACAGTATTTACTGTAAATGATGGGTGACTGGAAACTTATTCAAACTGTGAACGACGCATGTGCTGGTGTAGATTCCTCACGATGTTATGACCGTGCACTAATTGTCCGATTCGTTTTTCTACAGTTTCTACCAGTTCACTAATTGATGAAAGGTGTAATTAAGTTCACTGAAGAAATCCACATTCTTGTAGAAATTCTACATATTGTTAGAGTAGAAGATAACAGAAACACTTATTCATACCACTATAGACATTGTGTATTCTTTATAGGTGAAAGGTCGATAATCGACCTCAGTATTCATTGTTATAAATACCAAAATCCTAATTTCTAGGCTAAGCAGTGTAGACATAAGTAGATAGAAATGTACATCTTATATTTTAGTTTTAGCCACCACAGAGAGAAACTACCTAATTTTACACTGCACATATTTTGTCAATATCTAAACCTAATCAGTATGTTTTCTGTAAAACAAAGAATACTCTTGATAAGAAAATTCCATATGAGAGTTTTACAACTAAAAATCATTCTAATAGATATTTAGACTTTAATTCGTCTCATCCTTTAACTGTTAAGGCAGGCTTAGTTCAATGTTTAACAAACCGAGCAGTGGCACTAAGTGGCACAAAAAAAGATCTAAATGATGAATTAAAACAGATAGAAGAAGCGTTGGTGTTGAATAACTATCCTATAAAATTCATTAGGAAGATCATTAAAGGCCAAAACACAAAATAAAAATAATTGTGAAACTAGTAATAATAACATAAATAAGAAAGAATATAAATCATCCACAGTTATACCATATAAAGAGGGGACATTTGAGACACTACGTAGGATTCTAAATAAAGCAGGAATTAGGGTGGCATTTAAACCTACAAACTCACTCAGGGACAAGCTGTGTAGGTTAAACGACCCAGTTGAACCAATTAGACAAAATAATAAAATCTACAAAATACCATGCAATGACTGTGAGGTCAACTACATAGGTCAAACTAGTAGGTCAGGTGTAGTCAGATTGTCAGAGCATAAGAATTTAGCTAAGGTAAGAATGGTTGACCCCGAGAAGATAAGTAATTTAGAAAAAAGCTCAACAATTGCAATGCATGCGCTAACACACAACCACACAATAGAATGTGACAGGGTTAAAGTTCTAAAAAGTAATCTAGGTAGGTGGAGAGAGAGGTTGATTACCGAATCCTTGTTCATCGAGTCTACAGCCAACACATGCAATAGGAATGACTCGTCACTCATACCTGAAATATGGAAAATACTATTACCAATCAAATCAAGTGAAAATCAAGAGAAAAACAATGGAACTATATAAATGAATTTAGGAAGTCGTGTGATTACCTTGATATGATTATGAGCAATAAATTGTGCTCGAAACGTCATCAGTAAACATTACTGTATAACACTGTGAGACTTTATCAAAACAAAAATTTACCCATAATGGAATTACACTCTACCACAGTGCACAAGTTTTATTCTTATATCAATAAAAATCATTAAATTTTCAAAAAAACTAGTCACAACCTCTTATTAGAACTTATGAATAGCCACTTCAAAACCAGCCACCACCAAAACATCAGACTTATCAGATTAAGATGTGAAGTTTGTGAAGAACCGGTTGTTTCCACTATAGGAATTTACTATGATCTTATAAGCGTCAACAAAAATAATTGGAAACCAAAGAAGATTAGACATCTGCATATACAGGTGACTAGATTTAAGATACCTTTCATGCAGTTCCAATGACAAGTTGTAAATAATTTGGATGATTAATGAAGTTCAGCAACCCAATGATAACATGCGATCGTAAATGTGGCATACTTCCAAATGACAGATAAAGAAAACAGGCCACTGGTTTTTATTTCAACAGTGGAATGGATTTTAGACTCCATTCGATGGTACCTTGAGTTATTTATTATTATTATATCCTTTAATTCCTAGAGGAACATAGGGCTTCAGCTGCACGTCTCCATTGCCTTCTGTTTTCTGCCAACTTTTTCACCTCGCTCCAGGTCTGTCCACATGCTTTCATCTCCTCCTCGCATGACCTCCTCCAAGTCACCCTTGCACTGACGACCAAGTCGCCACTTCCCTTTTAGGTCCCACTCGAGCGATGGCTTGTCTAGTGATGTCACTTGATTGTTTGTTTCCTCAGAGTATGGCCAATCCATCTCCATTTCTTCCTCCCTATTTGTTTCACAATCGGTTCCTGATTGGTTCGCTCACTGCCAGAGATCCCTGTTGCCGATCTTTTCTGGCCATCTGATCTTGAGTGGTATTGAGCGAAGACAACTGTTAATGAAGGTCTGAAGTTTGTTGGTGATGCTCTTTATGACTCGCCAAGTCTCTGATCCATCTGTATAGTAGCACTGACTGACTTCACATTGGAGTTCAAAATCCGTATGTTATTTTTGATGCTGAGTGCTGTTGACCTCCACACAGATTTGAGAGTAATGAAAGCTTGTCTTGCTTTCCCTATCCTCGCTGCTTTGATATCCTCATCAGTTCCGTCCGCCTGTAGTTGAAACGATGCTTCCCAGTTTGGTAGGTAGGTGAAGGAGGTTGTTTCTTTCAGGTTCCTCCCATTTATACTGGCTGATTGTTGTCTGTTGTTGTTGTTGCTGTAGATGTTGGCCAGGAATCTTCATCACCTCTGTTTTCTTTATGTTCACTTGAAGTCCTATCTCCTCTAGATTCTTCTTCTTCCAACTTGTTGCTTTTCACTTGCATTTCTTCCAGTTTGTGGGATATCAGACATATGTCATCGGCGAAGTTCAAATCCTCCAAGTTTCTTGTGTGGGTCCATTTTATGCCCGTTCCCTAGTTGGTTGCCGTTGTCTGTCGCATTATCCAATCTACTGCAATCAGGAAGATCATTGGTGATAGTAGACAGCCTTGCCTCACTCCCGTCCTCACTTCAAAGGCTTCCGTAAGTTTCCCGTTGTGGATTACTTGGCATGCAGCATTGTCGTACAACTGTTCGATGAGGTGTATAATTGTCGATGGGATCCCATAGAAGCGAAGTAGTTGCCGAATCACCTCTGGATCGACGCTGTCCGCTGAAGGCCTTTTCAAAGTCGATGACGTTGCGATAGAGAGAGACGTGACTCCCATTCCAAGCTTTGTTCAATGATGATACGTAGAGTGGTAATTTGATCAATACATGACTTCTTTCTCCTGAATCCAGCTTGATCCGGTCGAAGTTTTTCATCCAGGGCGGCGTGTTTGATTCTCTCCAGGATGATGCGGGTTAGTATTTTACTTTGGATGGACATAGAAATTTGACTGATGTCAGCTCATGATGATATCCTCCAACCAATCAAACCCAAAATCCCTACAAAACCAATATTTGAAAATGCACTCTTTGACGAAATCCGTAGACTTTTAAAAATATTTTCCACATGTATGTGTGTATGTAAAAGGCGTAAATCCCTGTTTAAGTTATATGACATCATCATCACAAGCAGCCATACTTGAACTGGAACAAGAAACAATAAATGCAAAAGGAATCTATAATTATCCCGAATCGAAGAGGTATCTGACTACTCCGTTTTTATTTCACTCTCTCGCTGTCTCAATAAATTATCACTGATGTGAATTAGAGACAAATATTTGTCTTTTCATATTTTCGCTTCAAAGGTTTACCAATTATGGTCAATTAGTAATAAACATAAATCAAAGTGTTGGAAAAATACTACTTTGTGGAAAAAGTAGTATATTTCTTCTAAGTAAAACCATGGAAATTGACTCACCTTCAATTCTGTGTACTGTTATTTCCTATCTGCCTTAATTAATTAGTCAATCATACACTCTCCCTTGATTATGTAAGATTACTCATTATGTTTCATACATCGCTTTTTATCATGTGTCTCAATTTCTCTTTGTTATTAACTGACAATAATCCCTGAACTTTGTTAGCAGTCAACATTCAACAGCTTTGAAGAGAAACTATTAAAAGACAAATATTTGTCTCTAATTCACATCAGTGATAATTTATTGAGACAGCGAGAGAGTGAAATAAAAACGGAGTAGTCAGATACCTCTTCGATTCGGGATAATTATAGATTCCTTTTGCATTTATTGTTTCTTGTTCCAGTTCAAGTATGACTGCTTGTGATGATGATGTCATATAACTTAAACAGGGATTTACGCCTTTTACATACACACATACATGTGGAAAATATTTTTAAAAGTCTACGGATTTCGTCAAAGAGTGCATTTTCAAATATTGGTTTTGTAGGGATTTTGGGTTTGATTGGTTGGAGGATATCATCATGAGCTGACATCAGTTAGAGAATCATTGGAAAATAAGCTGGGAGTACTGGATAACTGTTTCATCCTGGTTGGGGGCTCTTCATCGGTATACAACCACCGGGGTTCGAACCCAGGACCTTCTTGTAGTAAGGCGAGCTCGTAGACCATTAGGAGGGTATTTGTCAATGTATCTTCATCAATCATTAATGGAAAACTTAAAAAGTCAAATTTCTATGTGAGATTGTGATCTCATAACTCACGGTACCATCAAATGGAGTGGAAGAACCATTCCACTGTTGAAATAAAATTCAGTGGTTGTATTGTTTTCAAAATCTATCATCAGACGTTTCTTCCTCTTTAGATAAACATCGAAGTCTAATAACAAATGAGACAACCTCTCTACTCATCATTATCATAAAATAACTTAACATAAATACTACTTCTGAAGTACGGCAGTTCAAGTTATGACAAAGTTAACAGAAGGGTCTAGAAAAGCAAAGCAAAGGAACTACTATAAACAGAAATTTACAGGAGAAGGAGAATAATGCAGATTTAATAGATACGAAAGATTATAAAGAGTCAATGCATATGCGTCACCGCATCACCAACAGTTTTCAGCCATTGAATCTTAAAGTATGAAGAACTGCAGTCACATAGTCAACACTTCCTCACATATTGTTACTTATTAAGAAACATGATATTTAAACCAAGTACTCATGGTTATATTATCATTTTATGAATGATCTAATTTAAATCTTTTTTATAACATAACGGTACAATATGAAATCATTCATAATTCCTTTGAGATATTCAATCGAATCGAAAAAGTTGATTGATTATAGTGCAGCTTCTGTTTCAACAAAGGCACCTAACCACCACACCGCCCCCTCTGCTTTAACAAGGAAGTTAAATAAGACAGAATGCGTATTGTATAGCTCTTCCTTAGAGTTTAAAGTGTACTTACCTCTGAATTGCGATGACCCCACGATTGCCCACTAGGTTCTCACCTACTCCTCCCATGACCTCTACTCCATGTCACTCTAGGACATCCAGCTCACTGTTTTCCAGTCGGCAGACACAGTCTGTTGGACACAAAATCGAGAAGAGGGATAGATGGTGGCTCAAACTATTATCTAGGGCTAAACTAATAAGTATTCATCAAAAATACGTGAACTATTCGGAGCATAAGAGACAAATGAAATCCATGAAAATCTCATAGATTCAAAGTATTCTAAACTGCTAAATTGTATGGTGTCAGATAATTGATAATTTACCCTCCGTGTAACTGCTTCACTTCTTTCGCTTATCTACGCAGTACTAAATGTCAAATCAATTCTTCTGTATGGTTCAGAGACTTTGCACGTGCATCACCGAAAGTATTTGCAACAAACTGCTGCAGACTCTCCACCAACAGCTATCTTCGCTCAATACTGAAAATCTGACGGCTGACCGGCAAGAAAGAATTAGCACTGAGAAACCCTTGGAACGAACCAATCAAGAAACTATTACTCAACAAATGGAGACGGATCGGACACACTCTGAGAAGACCGTTGAGTGACATTGCGCTCCAGGTCATTGCTCGAGTAGAACCCGAATGGAAAATGCCGAGTGTGGTGTCCGTAGGTGACATGGAGGATATCATGTGACCCGGAAGAGATGAAAGCTTACAGGCAAGCTGAAGACAACTGCTGAGAACAGAATGACATGGAGATATGCTGTTGAAGCCACATGTTCCACTTGCGTCAATATATAAAATTCATTCACACTTCTATTCCAAGGCATAAAATAGCCAGTCTTAACTCCTAACCCCCTCGAAAGACTAGATATAAACCATTCATGCCCACACTCACTCATCATTCACATCCAAATACATGCACACACAAAACTGAAGCATGCCTTTTTGCAATACACATATATCTCTTAAGGAGAAAGGGCAGAACTCTATAAGATTCTGTTGTAAAAAAAACAGTAACCACAATCTGAAATTACTTTTAAAGAGATAACATAGTAATTATGGATTAGTTGACAAATAGTAAAAGAATTCACTATAAATATATAAAACAGAAGTTAACATGTATTATTAACCTTTAATTTTATTGCTTTCAAATTATCATCAAATAGAAATTAATAATAATAATATTATTAATAATTTTATTATAATATTATTATCACTATTATTCACAAGGTAGAAATAGAAATCAGAATATTAAAAAATCAACGACTGGTTAAACAATTTTTGACGCATACAAATAACGTGAATGCACAGTTGTATAAACGGATATCAAATATTGGTATGATAATAATAATAATAGTGACTCTGTCAACTGAATTTTTCATAAGAGTAAAAACAAGGCTGTCAAAAATACGCCTACTAACGTGAATGACTACTCTTCAAACAAGCAGTAGGCCGTTCGTTATCATACTTCCTGAAAAAAATTACCAAAAGTACTTTTTTCTTTAAAATTATCAAATATACACAGAAAATTAAATGTATATCATATGAATAAGATTATTACAATAAAATCAGATTTTCTGTGTATAACAAGGTAAGAACACAGTCTAGGCAGGAGACTAATACAATCTCACACTCTCTCCCCCCTCCCTGTCTCTTCATATTTGTACATAGGTAGGTATATGCATACGAGAAAGGAAACAGCAGAAGACAATTTCAGCAGACTAGCCTTTCTGCGAGGCGGGGATGAGGGTGGGTGTGGACACCAATCCAAACGTGGAAGGAACTAATTGATAAACGAAAAAGTACAAAAAAGGAGAGATTTTGGAGAGAAGAATACAAAAACCAAAAAAACAAAACAAAAGAGCTGCCAAAATAAAAGAGAAATAAAGAGAATGAACAACGAGGAATACCCACTCTGCTTCATTCTTGTTTGTCAGGAGGATACATGTGTAATAAATTAAAGTGATATACATAATTATTAGGTGCTGTCGGTGTTGTTGTTCTTATTGTTTTTGTTATTGCTGGAATGATAATTCGAGGGCGGCGGCCACTGCGGAAGGGAACTTTCTTTTTCAATTAAAAATGAATCAAAAACATAACAAAAAAACCCATTAAACAGTTGAAGTACAGCATTAATTTTGTAACCTGATCGTAAATTTTCTAGCAAAGAAATCACTTCGTTTTTCCAACTTTGTTGTACACATAATTTAAGTCATATCAATGATTCAGTTTAAAAAAAAACTGGAATTTGTAGTACACAATTGAACTTGTTTTATTATTGTTATTATTTATAGAGAAGGAAATCTGAACGGATTATTATATACAATATATATTATATATGTAAGTGATGGGCTCTCATTCGCCTAATTATAATATTCAATATAATACACTCAATCCACCTGTATCACTGCCTACCAAGAGAAAATTATTCTCTGTAAGTGAAAGTACAGAACTAATATTACCACGTAATAAATTTGATGGGATTCTGCCTATGGTATAATAATATGCAGGATTGAAATTATTATGATTATTATTAGTAATATTAATACTAGTATTACTAAGAGATGATGACGGTGATGATGAGAGATAGGTGCCTAATATTGTTCCACCAGGAATGTCATTGCCACCACCACCACTACCACTATTATTCATATTATTATTATTGTTCCCGTAATGATGATATGATTGTGATGAATGAGTTCCTGATGTTACTGATGTATGACCACCAATTAATTCATTTGTTGATAAAACCTTTAATCCAGTAATTGGATTGCTGTCATTTGTTGATTCGATAACTGTATTCGCTGAAGGATTACTGCTATTGCCGCTGCTGCTACTGCCACCGAAAATAGGGAAACGAGATGTACTCAGTGCTGATGACGACGATGAGGAGGAGGAGCCGGAGGCGGACGATGAAGACAATGAATTAGCACAGAAAATTGGATTCTCATTACACATTGTTAAACATGTAATATTTTGTAATTTTGGTAGAATAATTTTCTCTGATTCAAATTGTATCGTAGAATTATGCGTTAAACAATTTAGTGTATTATTCATTTGATTATATGAATTCAATAAAGAATTCGGGTTGATAGTTATTGGATTAGCTGTTGGATAAATGAAGGATAAACTTCGATCATTACATGATATAAATCCATTGTATTTGTGTGGAACAATCTAGAAACAAAAGATAATAATAGAGCACATTTTAGAATTTATTTAATACATCCAAAAAAAATACAAAATAAGCGGACCCTTCATTGTAAAGTTTAGATAGGCAATAGGCTAGGAACTGTACTGTATATAGGAAACTACATAATACCTTAGCATACCTGTTTTTTTTCCTTCACGTTCCCAGTGGAACATAGGGCCTCAAGCTATAGGCTTGAAGATTCCGTAGCAGTGTTGATTTTTTACAGGATGGGGTTGCTAGCCTCATGCCCAACCTTTCCTCCTTACCAATCTCACTACTGGCTTAGCGAGGTAAAGGTGCGCGCCGGCCGGGGCTCGAACCCCGGACCATGTGGATGGTCGGCGAGCGTCTTAACCGCTGTGCCACCGACGCACGCATACCTGTACTATTTATTAATTAAACATTTATCATGTGATGTTCTCTCATGGGATGAATGAGATCGATGTGACAGTTACTAGTTTATCGTATGATTCAGTTATACTGAAGCAAGGATTAGATAGAGAAATAACCATTTAAAATGGAAAGCATCAATCATCAATCACACCCATCACAAAGGTAGGGTGAAAAACTTCGAGTAAAGATCTTGGTATCAGTGAGCAAGGATTTACTTCCCTTCCCTTGGGTTTCAGGTAGAACATAGAGCTTCAGCAGCTCATCGTTGTTTCATACTTTCCGCTGTAATTTTTTTCGGCTGGCTTTAAGGTCCTCGCCTCGTTTACTAGTCGACCCTAAGCAACGAATAGGAGGGAAATAGCAGCCGTATCCCGATAAATCGATACAATTGCTACAAGAAATTCAAAATGTAGAAAAAAGCTTCTCTGGATTCGAGAAAACAAAATGGGCTAGTGATAGCCTTCAAGAAACCGATGTCTACTCTTTAGACAAAATCGAAATTAAGCATGGGGATATAGAATGTCCGCAAACTGAGCAAGAATTAGTGGAGATGAGGTAGAAAGGGGTGTTATACGTAGAAAAAATAAAAGTGGGGGCAGTCTCAGAATTACTTATTAAATAAAATGGGATTCACTTAAGATACAAATTACAGCCTTATATTAAACTTTCTTTCTATAAAAAGACGATTCGTATCTCTTAGTTTATTTATACTTTCCCTTGCCTATTTCCTCTTCATCCTCTTTACTTCTCCCACCAAGACCTGAAAAAGTCGGTTATTTTCTCTAATAATCTCTATTCAGATGCACAAGCAACAGTATTATCTGGTTGAAACAGATTGTTGTTCTGTTCCTGAAACAGTATGTACAATTGAAAACCTAATAATACCAATAATTGATGACAACGTAGCTGTTTCCATAACTTCATACATTATTTCCCTTGCTAAACTTTAACAAAGCAAAAAATGGCGTTATTATATTCCACTGGTTTTTGTAAGCTGTACACACTGTTACAATCAATGGCTAAAGTATTTAAATAGTTTTTTTTTAAATATTGACATTCGATTATTTATGCGTATCTGCAGCTGGAAATAAGCAACGAAATATAATTACGATATTTCACCTTGCTCAATGTTTCCTTCTTGCTTTCTACAAATCCCCATGATTGGTTTGATGTGTTAAAAAGAGGGGCCAAATACTAGGTAATTTTTCACTGATTTGTTCAAAGTATCTTGATAGCATTATTGTGGTGAGTGCTACTTAAATACAGATATAAGTAGTATACCAGTAAAAGGGTTCAGAAAAGCAACAATATGTTATTGACACTGGGAAAAACAATCGAAGAACAGAACTGTGAAAATAACGTTAGAAAAACACTGTACAGGACTCAACAACCTATCGAATGTGGTGATATAAGACCAATTTCCAAAAGAAGTGCAAAAAGGGCATTGGAGATATGGTACAGCAAATTTATGTACCTACAATCATCTTTTTTGTAACAAGCATTCCTTCAAGTTTCATCGGTCTTTTTTTCCTTACATTATTACCATCAATAATAGAAACAGTTTGTTCAATTCCAGTTGAAAATACACGGAGATTATTCAGAAATGCAATACGGGGCTTTAATTGCACAGATAGTTTAGTCATTCGAATTTCAGGAATGAGAGTCTTGAGTAAGGATGGAGAAGAAAATAATTAGTTGGAGAATCATTGGAAAACCTAGGAGTACTGGAGAGCTGTTTCATCCTAGTTTGAGACTCTTCATCGGTGTGCACCCACCGCAATCACTCAAACTTAGGACCTTCCGGTTACAAAGTGACATTATAGACCGCTCGGACACTGGGACACATTTAAACGGCTCACGAATCCCCATTTCGGTGTTATAGGCGAGTAACTGATCTCTTACCTGACTTAAATCGGGCCCCAGTGGCGGAATACTCTGCGAGTTCGCCTCGTAACTGGAAGATCCTTGGTTCGAACCCTGACGGTGGGTGCGTACTGACGAAGAGTCCCAAATTAGGATGAAGCAGCTGTCCAGTACTCTTAGGTTTTCCGACGGCTCTCCAACTGATGCCAACTCGTTACCAAACCTGTAACCAGCCAAATTCTTGCAAAACAATACTTGAAAAAATAATCGACACTGAGATATTTACGCCAGGAGTTACGCATTCTCCTATGAATTGAATACCTTTCATCTTATCTTAATATTTCTTCTCATTAGATTCCAGATAACGAAGACATCTATGGTCAAAAACTTACAATCTTCTCATTTCTCATAGTTTCAAGTGTTAAGTTCCATAGCCGTCAATTAGCAAACAGAAAATTCGCTGAGTTGTAGAGTGATATTCATGGGTCGGTAGTTAGATAACTATCCACCGCCGGAAATAATGTGGGTAGGCAAGTGTTAAACCCAATCGTACTGAGATGACATGAACAAACAGTCCACTATCTCAGGATTAATGTAGCTTCCAGATAAATAAAGCAGACAACGCAATCGATAAATTCACTCTCTATGCTTATACTAGAAGTTGGCACAAATCAGTCGAGTATCACCTTACACTTGGTATGAAAAAATACAAGGCAAATATATTCAGACTTTACAGGATTTTATATTATTTGAGCATTACCTAAGTAAACAAGCTTTTTGTCTGGTAGGAAGTCAATTCCTGAGATAATTAATCAGAGTGAAGTCGCTTCTAATAGTAAATTTATAATGAAATAAAATTAGACGTTGTTGACAGACACTATTCGTTTCCTTCACTTCAAGCAACTAATTTCTGTGATTTAATACACAGTCAAGTGACTTCGAGTGTCGCGTCATGATCAGAATAACACTTTCTCGAAAAAATTTTCCATAACTAGATAATACCACTTTTCAACGAATAGAGTTGAATGGTACCTTTACTTCAAGAATAACAGCCACAATCGGAAGCCAACAGGTATGTTGATAATCACAAGACAATTTAAGAGTGAAGATTTGATCAATACACCTTCACCTTGACATGGAAATTAATGGAACTCTACGCAAATACTTTGAAAGGAATAGTAATCTTTTACCATAATACTGATAATAATAATAATAATCTGCAGACGATTGCCAGAAAAGACAATTTCACACGTAATGCTTCAAAATGGGGACAACATGAACTCAATTTAAGAAAACAATCACTGTTGGTGGTTCATCGCTATAGAACATCAACGAGATAACCAATACTTCCTCTAACTGCCTCAGCTTCTTTATTTCCACCTTCCACTCTTTTACCACAGGCAGTAAACTTGACAGTTTCTAGTGAAACTCATTCTTTACTTCATTGAAAAATTGACCAGTAGGTGCTTAAGCCAGGATTAACAACAACATCGGCCTAGCATATCATGATCTTATTCGCCTTTAAAAGTCTAATTAGAATAACGTCCATGAGAACTGGCCAAATAATCTTTTGATACTCACAGGATAAAATTGCTCAGATTTATCTTATTAAACACCTGAGGTTAGGTATATAATTGAATTTAAGTCATATGCACGTATCCCACAATTACAATATACATCCATAGTCTGAGATAGAGTTCACGGTCATTGAAACCTGCTATCCGACTTGTCGTATAGTTCAGAGGTTGAGGTATAGTAGAAAGTCGCCATAAGTTTCACGCTTAAGAGAATACAATGTATGGAATATATATCCAATCCATGTTCACTTTTAACAGTCGAAAAAATTTAGGCATTGGGTATACGATATTCATTATTATTATTATAAAAGTTTTTTGCATTTCCCCTGGATGTATTGAAAACAAAATGATATTATTCTTACTGATGTTTCGCTCTTTAATGCTGCTGCTAATAGCTTTATCAAAATGTATTATTAAACCAGAATTTACAAAATCCTAGCTTATATATAACAAATCGAATCATCGTTCCTCAGCATCGGGTGATTTTCACGTTGTCAAGTTGATCAGCTGGTAAAGATACCAAAATCAGGTGTAGATTGTTGGATTTGATAGGTGTGAAAAATTACACAAGCAGCATGTGTTTACATAATGAAATTGCTTATCGAAACAGTGTTGATTTTGTCATTTCATGGAGGGGTGTGTGTGTGTTGTAACCAGGTCAAATTCTGTCCCAGTTCATTATTCCTATTCAGACAATTTGGGTTCCACTTGATATGAAGTGCTTCTGATATTGAACGTTCTTTGTGATATCTGAAGTTTTCTGCACTGTTTCAAAATTGTCAAAATCAGTTTTGTGATCTGATTCTATAGCGTGGATGCTGATCTTCGAAGCTTTTCTGGTTCAACTGGATTTCTCGATGGTTGAATAGAGGCGGCTCTAGGGTGTTCATCTCTTCTGATTTTGATTTCTCGAGATTTTTGTTCGATGTATATCGCATCACATTCCAATAATTTTGTAGACACAAATAAATTGAAAACCCTTAGGGATTTGTTCTTTTAGATGAACAAGGTTTCTTTGTAATGTGTCCGATGTTTTGAAGAAAATTCTAATGTCGAGCTGAATGAGTACTCTTCTGATATCGTCTGACGTCTCTGATCTAATTATGGAATGACATCTGTTGAGGCTCATATCTTCGGAATACGTTTTCGACCATATTTAATGTCGGTGTTGATTTTGTTGATAAAGTTCTTTAGGTAGTTATTTTTCTTGAGAGCTTCAGTAATGTTTGATATTTCTTCTTCTTTTTCCTTCTCATCCATTATCAAAGAGTTTGCTCGTCTAAGAATACTTGAAACAACTGGTAGTTTTGCGCCGATGGGTTGTGATGAATCGAAGTGTAAATATTTGTTGGGGTGAATTTTTTTTCCTGAATACGGACATATTAAAATATCCGTTTTCCCTCTTGTTAAGTAGGGCATATAGACGTGGTAGATCACCGACGTCAAATTCTGCTTCTGAAATAAACTGGATGCTGGGAGACAGACGGTACAAATTTTCCAAGAATGAATTGTATAGATCTCGTTTTAGTATCATCAATGTATCTTCACCATATTTCAGGCGTGAGTATGTCTGAAAAAATGCCTTCAAATCTGTTTATAAAGAGATCAGTGACTACTGGGGAAACTGGTAAACCCATAACAACACCATTCGTCTGTCTACATAAATTCCCTTTAACTTTAAAAATAATTACTTTCTAGACAAAATTTTTAGCTCTTTATTATTTCTCTAGTGTCTAGTGGACAATTTGTAATAGGGTTGTATCTGATTCTAGTAAACTCAAAATCTTTGCCAATTGGCCGACTTGACAACGTGAAAATCACCCCATGCTGAGGAACGATGATTCAATTTGTTATAAATATAAGCTGAGATTTTGTAAATTCTGGTTTAATAATACATTTTGATAAAGGTATTAGCAGCAGCATTAAAGAGCGAAACACATCGATCGTTTTGGTTTTCATACATCCAGGGGAAATGCGAAAACTCTTACAATAAAGAATGTATGGGAGTTAAAATGTCTTCACACAGTGAATGTAACTCCTATGAGAATACTGACAAAAAAATCAACTTAACAGCATCATATCAATCCGTGATCAACTCGTAAGAACAAAACTAACCCTTACAAACCAAACTATAGAAAGTTAATCTGATGCTCGCTAGTGGCTTGCTGCAGGATAGACATTCCTGGAGTTCTAGTGAGAATTCGTGACCAGTGAGGTCCATCCAGATGTCACGTGTGAGGATGGATGTCCCACCTACGACAATGGTTGGGGTCGCGGTAAATCACGAATTGGTAGAAGTTACAATTCATGAGCCATTGAATCGGGTCCCAGTGGCTGAATTATATATGAGCCAGCTTGTCTTGTAACCAGAAGGTCCTGGGTTCGAACCCCGTTAGTGGGTGCGTCCTGCCAATGACTTACAAACTAGGATGAAACAGCTTTCCAGTAATCCCTGGTTTTCAATGGTTCTCTAACTGATATCGATCCGTGATCAACTGGTAAAAAGCACCATATGAGCCTAGAAGTATTGAAACAATCCAATGATTCACTTTTTATTTCAATTTTTGCGCTTAAATAAATTTCAACTGCTATCCAATAAAGTACACCTTTATTACACATTATTATTATTATTGTATCCTTTAGTTCCTTGAGGAACATAGGGCTTCAGCTGCACGTCTCCATTGCCTTCTGTTTTCTGCCAACATTTTCACCCCGATCCACGTCTGCCCACATGCTTTCATCTCCTCCTCGCATGACCTCCTCCAAATCACCCTTGCACTGACGACCAACTCGCCGCCTCACTTTCGGGTTCCACTCGAGCGATGGCTTGTCTAGTGATGTCACTTGATGGTTTCCTCAAGGTGTGACCAATCCATCTCCATTTCTTCCTGACTATTTGTTGCACAATCGGTTCTTGCTGAGTTGGTTCCCTACCAGAGATCCATCCCTGTGGCTGATCTTTTCTGGTCGGCCATCTGATCTTGAGTGGCATTGAGCGAAGAAAACTGTTAATGAAAGTCTGTAGTTTGTTTGAGATGCTCTTTGTGACGCACCAACTCTCTGATCCATCTGTATAGTAGCACTGACTGACTTCACATTGGAGTTGAAATTCCGGATGTTATTTTTGATGCTGAGTGCTGTTGACCTCCACACAGACTTTAGAGTAATGAAAGCTTGTCTTGCTTTCCCTATCCTCGCTGCTTTGATATCCTCGTCAGTTCCGTCCGCCTGTAGTTGAAACGATGCTTCCCAGTTTGGTAGGTAGGTGAAGGAGGTTGTTTCTTTCAGGTTCCTCCCATTTATGCTGATTGTTGTCTGTTGTTGTTGTTGCTGTTGATGTTGGCTAGGAATCTTCATCACCTCTGTTTTCTTTATGTTCACCTGAAGTCCTATCTCCTCTAGATGCTTCTTCTTCCAACTTGTTGCTTTTCACTTGCATATCTTCCAGTTTGTGGGAAATCAGACATATGTCATCAGCGAAGATCAGATCCTCCAACTTTCTTGTGTGAGTCCATTTTATGCCCGTTCCCTCGTTGGTTGCCGTTGTCTGTCGCATTATCCAATCTACTACAATCAGGAAGATCATTGGTGATAGTAGACAGCCTTGCCTCACTCCCGTCCTCACTTCAAAGGCTTCCGTAAGTTTCCCGTTGTGGATTACTTGGCATGCAGCATTGTCGTACAACTGTTCGATGAGATGTATAATTGTCGATGGGATCCCGTAGTAGCGAAGTAGTTGCCGAATCACCTCTGGATCGACGCTGTCCGCTGAAGGCCTTTTCAAAGTCGATGAAGTTGAGTGAGGTGGAGAGGTGACTGCCATTCCAAGCTTTGTTCAATGATGGTCCATAGAGTGGCGATTTGATCAATACATGACTTGTTTCTCCTGAATCCAGCTTGTTCCGGTCGAAGTTTTTCATCCAGGGCGGCGTGTTTGATTCTCTCCAGGATGATGCGGCTTAGTATTTTACTTGGGATGGACAGAAGCATAATTAAAAGCCAGTTTTTGCATTGACCTAAGTCTCCTTTCTTTGATTTATTACACATATTGAACCCAGAACAAAACAAAATTCAATTTCACCACAGATTTCTTCAATAGAAACAATGTGTGTAACAAAATAAACGCTTACATCAACTACTGCATCATGATAACCTCTCCATATATCAATCACTTGACCCATACGTAAATCTAATGCAGTAATTATACCAGTTGTAAAACCACATAATAAATAATAACCATTTTTAGCCATAGATAAACGATTCAATACACCAGCCATATTTGTATTCACAGGCATTAAAGATGTTGAAGAAGAATTATAATTCATATGCATCGTTGTTGTTGTTGACGTGGAATTGTTGAAATGAAATATGTTAGGCTGAAGATGTTCAGTTAATTTATGTAGAATTTTTGTAATAGATGTGTCAATTGTAGACCGACTGTACGGAAGAGCTGGAAGAAAACAACAAAAAACAATAACAGTGAGAAAGTAAGATAAAATAATCTTGAGTTGATTGTGTATAAACCAAAAAACACACACACACACACAGCAACAACGACGTATTGATTACTGTAATTCAAGCGAAGTGGTATTCCTCATAAAGTATTTACCACTTGAGAACAAGTGAAAAATAAGGAGTTGTTTTGGTTACAGGTTTTCGTCATGAGCTGACATTGGTTAGAAAACCAATGGAAAACCTGGGAGTACTGGACAGCTGTTTCGTCATAGTTTGGGACACTACAGCAGTACGTACCCACCGGGGTTCGAACCCGGGACCCAAACTAGGACGAAACAGCTGTCCAGTACTCCTAGCTTGTTTGCCAACGGTTCTCTAACCAATGTCAGCTCATGATGAAATCTTGTAACCAATCAATTAAATCCCTACAAACCAATACTTGAAGGAGTCGTTTTGTTGGAGTATAAAAAGGTTTGGCGATAGAAGAAAACACGATATGATTCAGGGTCAAGGTTGAAAATAACCAAATCTATTAGTGAACATTTCGTTAATCAATCATTTTAACAAAAAGAAATGACAAGTGTTATTTAATATTATTAAATAATCAGTAATTCCCTCACCATTTGCTATCCCTATCCTATTAGGGTTTCTAACAACCATGTGAAATTCCGATAAAGAAAGGATGAAGAAATTTGCAGTATAAAATGTGATATCATCATTCTATTACACAGGTTCTCATCAACTGTCATTGACTACCTGAAATTACAGTGGTTATATAGATGATAATAATAACATACTTTAATGTTTGAGTGGTAGTAGAGAAGAGATACCATAAAATTGACGGAACCGAAATGAAAGCATTACAATTTTTAGTTTAAGTTTTCATCATCAATTTATACGCTTTTAAAGTTGAAAAGATGTAGGAGGGGTAAGACAGAAAACAGAAAAAATTAATTAACAGAACAGTGTTAGCTTGTAGGTTCACATAGCAACTCCAGAAAACAAAAGCGGCTACACTTTATAGGATTGAGAAATGCTCAGTGAGTTGAGATCACTGAATTAGATGACTAATTAATGTAATCAAAATCAAAATTCAGTTACCAAGGTAGTGAGACGTTAATCACACTGTCTTTCTGTATGCATATTTATTATTAAATAGACAAAGGACATCAAATTTACTACGAATTGCCGAAGCGATCGCAATCAAACGATTTAAACCGGGCTTATGCATACAGAAAGACAGTGTGATTAACCTCTCACTACCTTGGTAACTGAATTTTGATTACATTAATTAGTCATCTAAGTCAGTGATCTCAACTCACTGAACAAATCTCAATCTCATAAACTGTAACCTCTTTTGTTTTTTGAGTTACTACGTGAACCTACAAGCTAACACTGTTCTTCTTACAACCGGTTCCCTTTATTAGTTTGAAGAGAGAAAGAACGAACATGTTTGCAGGATAATACGAGCTCGTTTTATTTCGTGGATACTCATCAACTGCATACATCCTGAACAAAATCAATTATAAGTTTCAAAAAAAGTTTTGGAACATACTTTCTCATAATTACTTGGAGTTATAAATAGAAGGTATAAGGAACATAATTCCAGAATTTGATGTAGGTAGACAGATTATTCAGTGTCAAAAAAAAACTAATTATATATAGTGGAATTGGATAAGAGGGTTTAGAGTTCAGATTACTATTGGGAAACGCAGATTGATTAGAGGCATATTATAGGGTCAAGGTCAGAGAACAGAGTGAATTTACACATGTGGTGGAGAGCTTAAGAGGGTGGGGGTGAATAGTGAAGTAACAGTGAAGTAAGTAACAAAAAACAAAAATAAATAAAATAGGATTAGGGTTACCAGGGTAGTGAAAGATTAGTCACACTATCTTTCTGTGTACAGAGGTCTGGTCGAAGTTTCTTGATAGCGATGGCTTCTGCGAAACGAAGTAGCCATGGGTTTCTTTGCGTATTGATTATTTTGAAGGCATGGCTGATTTCTACTGTGTGTCCTGTGTCAATTAAATGTCTGGCGATTGCACTCGATAACACTTTTCTTCCTTTTGTATGGAGGCTCTTAGGAATGTGCTCAGAAAACCTGGACTGGTCAATACTTAAATTATCACAGCTTTTGCCTAACGAGCTACAAACGAGGTCTAGTAAAAACGCTCTTCAGCAGAGCCAAAGAAATATGTTCGGAAGACACTATTGAAGAAGAACACGCCGTCATCGAAAAGAACCTCATCGAGAATGGATATCCCCGAAAGTTCATATTAAAGTATAGAAATGAAGAAACCCACAAACCGAAACCAGACACCGTTCAAAAGAAACCAGTTTTCATCTGCCTAGCCTACAAAGGTGAAGACGTATCCACAAGAACACAAAAAAGAATCTCAAGTGCATTAAAAAGAACATTTCCAGCTGCCAGACTGATCCTATTTCACAACACTGTGTGCTCATTAACCCAGTCAAAAGTAGATGAGTACCCTACTCACGTCAACTCCAACTGCATTTACCAATTCACGTGCACCTGCGGGAGCAAGTACATAGGAAGGACTGAGAGGAGAGCATCTACTAGATTTTCTGAGCACATTCCTAAGAGCCTCCATACAAAAGGAAGAAAAGTGTTATCGAGTGCAATCGCCAGACATTTAATTGACACAGGACACACAGTAGAAATCAGCCATGCCTTCAAAATAATCAATACGCAAAGAAACCCATGGCTACTTCGTTTCGCAGAAGCCATCGCTATCAAGAAACTTCGACCAGACCTCTGTACACAGAAAGATAGTGTGACTAATCTTTCACTACCCTGGTAACCCTAATCCTATTTTATTTATTTTTGTTTTTTGTTACTTACTTCACTGTTACTTCACTATTCACCCCCACCCTCTTAAGCTCTCCACCACATGTGTAAATTCACTCTGTTCTCTGACCTTGACCCTATAATATGCCTCTAATCAATCTGCGTTTCCCAATAGTAATCTGAACTCTAAACCCTCTTATCCAATTCCACTATATATAATTAGTTTTTTTTTGACACTGAATAATCTGTCTACCTACATCAAATTCTGGAATTATGTTCCTTATACCTTCTATTTATAACTCCAAGTAATTATGAGAAAGTATGTTCCAAAACTTTTTTTGAAACTTATAATTGATTTTGTTCAGGATGTATGCAGTTGATGAGTATCCACGAAATTTAACACTGTTCTGTTAATTAATTTTTTCTGCTTTCTGTCCTATCCCTCCGCCCGATCTTCAACTTTAAAAGCTTATAAATTGATGATGAAAACTTAAACTAAAAATTGTAATGCTTTCCTTTTTGGATGCGTCAATTTTGTAGTATCTCTCTCTACTCTACTACCACTCAAACATTAAAGTATGTTATTATTATCATCTATATAACCATTGTAATTTCATGTAGTCGATGGCAGTTGATGAGAACCTGTGAAATAGAATGATATCATTTTCTGTTGCAAATTTCGTCTTCCTTTCTTTATCGAAATTTATCAAGGGAACCAAACATGTCAAATTTATTTAGCAGTTAGTGGTTAATGCACATTAGACAACTGTTCACTATTAAGTTCTATGCAGAAAACATTATTACTAAGTTAGTCCGTAGAATGAAATGTGGTTGGCTAGAAAACAGCCGAAGGTCAACTGTTTGTTATTATTATTCCTTTGGGTTCCAAGTGGAACATAGGACTTCAGCAGCACACTCCCATTTCATCCTGTTCTCTGCAGTCCTCTTCAGTTGGTACTACGATCCCCCACATGCTTTCATCTCCTGCTTATATGATTTCCTACATATCAACCCAGACATTTCTCATTCGAGTTCTGATCGAGGACTTGGCACGCGATGTGGCCCTGACTGTCTCCTTCGAGTGTGTCCTATCCATCTTCACTTCCTACGGCATATTTTATGAATAATAGGTTCTTGACAGCTTCAGTCTCAGAGTTTCTTATTGCTAATTGTTTCTGGCCATCTGATATTCAGTAGGAAGCCAGCAAAGGTAGTTCTTAGTAAAAGTCTGCAGTCTGTTTGAAATGCGCTAAGTTTCTGATCAATATAGAAGAATGAATCTGAACATTGACGTTTCAAACCCGAATTTTGTTCTTTATGCTGCGGAGTGTAGATGATTTCCAAACTGATTCCAGAGTGGTGAAGGTTTTTTTTCCTTTCCGCCAATGATTTTGACACCTTCGTACGGGATGTCTGTAGTTGAAACGATGCTGCCTAGATAAGTGAAGTGACCTCTTTCAAATTCCTTACGTTGATAATGATTGGTATGTATGGTGGTTGGTTGGTTACCTTCATCAATTCCATCTTCTCTATGTTCACTTGAAGTCCTGTCTCAGCTATCAGCCGCTTCTGCTAACTTGCTGGTTTCCACCTGTATCTTTGGATTTGTGTGACATAAGACGTAAATCGTCTGCGAAGTCCAAATCATCTAGAGTCTTCTTATCCATTATCATTATTATATCCTTTAATTCCTAGAGGAACATAGGGCTTCAGCTGAACGTCTCCATTGCCTTCTGTTTTCTGCCAACTTTTTCACCTCGCTCCAGGTCTGTCCACATGCTTTCATATCCTCCTCGCATGACCTCCACCATGTCACCCTCACATTGACGACCAACTCGCTGCTTCCCTTTCGGGTTCCACTCGAGCGATGGCTTGTCTAGTGATGTCACTTGATTGTTTGTTTCCTCAGAGTATGGCCAATCCATCTCCACTTCCTCCTGCCTATTTGTTTCACAATCGGTTCCTGGTTGGTTCTCTACCAGAGATCCATCCCTGTGGCTGATATTTTCTGGCTGGCCATCTGATCTTGAGTATTGAGCGAAGAGAACTGTAGAGTCTTCTTATCGGTCCAACATAATCACGTATTCTCGCTCCCCAAAGTCTCCCACATAATCCAGTCCACCACAATTAAAATTTATCATTAGCGATAGTAGGCATCCTTGTCTTACTCCTGTTTTCACTTCAAAGGCTTTACTGAATTTCCCATTGTGGGCCACTTGACATGGAGCATTGTAAAATGAGGCTGAAGGAGGTTTGGGGCGCTCCATAGTGTTGAAGTAGTATACAAATTTTTTCGAAATTGACGCGGTCACAATATAAAACTTCCCAAAAATGCGAACCTACGACTTCATCTACATAAATTATACGTTAAAATAAACTTAGGTACATACACAAAAGTTGTATATTTCACCTTATAAACAAGTAGGTTTGCTTAAGACGTAAAATTTGTAAGAATTTGATTGTTTCTAGAAGAAACTAATTAGGACAATTGGTGAAATAAAAAAAAGCTTTCGTCCCGACTTATAACCTTCCTCAGGTATCCCCTCTCACGACTGCATGAGCGATCAAACATAGGACTATTAATTAAAAACACAACAACACTACCGTTCAGTTTAATAATTTATGATTCCAAACTCCTGGGGAATTACTATTGATATATATATCCATATAATATGTGTGTTTTGTTTGACAGTCTGATATATTTTGCTATGTATATATGGATCGATATTCCATTATAATTAGCCAATCATGTTAAGACTGTCTATTGATTTGTTCATTTTGAATATTCGCTCACACACTTGTGTTCACACACTTTCGGACATTCATATATTTTTGCTCTCACACACTTGTGTGACATTTTGATTCTCCTGGTGTTTTGGAAAATAGAAGTATCATCGCAAACCTAGTGGTCTTCTGATTTCCGTCTTTCTTGCGTCAGGACTATTAAATTCTCGACCAGTACATAACAATAATTTGGCGACGGGGATGGGATAAGATAAGATGAATCTCAGTAAAACCATAACTACATATCTCCGGTATTACCAACAATCGAAACTGGTTAATACCCAAAAATATTGGTTTTAAATTTATGACCAGCCAAACATGTAGCCGAGTGCTTTGGATATTAATCCAGAATCCCTGTCCTGTCGAACACTTGCTGTTCTTGACAGACTTGTTGGTCGATTAGATGCAGCCAACGATCGCATTGAATTATGTCTGCCAATGCTACTACTACTACTACTACTACTACTACTACTACATACTGGTTTGTCTGCAACCATATGATTGCCAGAATCCATTCCAGTATTATTTAATGATAGCGGCTTTAATCCACCCATATCTCTATTCGGAGTTCTATTCATCATTGTTCCAGTTGTTCTTTTATTGTTATCATCATCGATACCACAACGAATATTATGCATACTGTTATTGTTATTCGATGGACTAAGGAATACAGAATCATTGATATTACTGGTGTTTGTCTGTCTATAAAACACACCAGACTTTTCTCCATCTATTACTTGTGGATCAGTACACATGGATACACCAACCATAATATTATCACCAAAAACTTTTCCATTTTTATTCAAAGCATAACGAGCTTGCATTCTGTTCTGGTATTTAATATGCATCCAATTACCATTATTTGTAATCACATGTTTTTCAATAGTCCCAAGTTGAGCAAATTGATTGAGAGTGAATGCAGCTTGAGATGGTGGGAACCCAAAAACAGTCACCCAACAATCGTGTAAATTTGGAGAGTCATTATCGTTGAAACTTTGATGTGTAAGCAGTGCTTCAGCTAAACGATTAGGCGTTATCAAACCCTCTTGAGGAGAGAACACTTCCCAAATTAATCCGGAAGGCTCCTCCTCCGCCTCGTGTTCGTCCCTCTTTTAAATATGAACGACTTCAATCAGGCTCGCAATTTCGCTACACCAAATGGTTTAAATCAAATGCCATTCCTAGCTGCTAGTGGTCCTAATCAATTCCAGCAAAAGCTAAATGAACCATTCCCGACAATGGTACCGTTTAATTCTGGTCAAGTGACAACGGCTGCTCAGCAACAATTATTAATGCAGTATAATGGACAGTATTCAGCTCAACAACAGCAACAACAACGTCAGCAACAAAATTATTGTTATGTACTGGTGGAGAATTTAATAGTCCTGACGCAAGAAAGACGGAAATCAGAAGACCACTAGGTTTGCGATGATACTTCTATTTTCCAAAACACCAGGAGAATCAAAATGTCACACAAGTGTGTGAGAGCAAAAATATATGAATGTCCGAAAGTGTGTGAACACAAGTGTGTGAGCGAATATTCAAAATGAACAAATCAATAGACAGTCTTAACATGATTGGCTAATTATAATGGAATATCGATCCATATATACATAGCAAAATATATCAGACTGTCAAACAAAACACACATATTATATGGATATATATATATATCAACTATACAAAAACATCGGTGCTATTGCAGATAGAAACTTTAAAATGAAAGAAGTCAAGACAAGAATTTTACCGACTTTAGATATGATCTATCTGTACGATGCTAACTGTACTGTACAAGGGTACCAGACACAAAACATTCTTACTCAATAAACATCAAATCTCAGGCGAAATTAAACCATATTTATCATACTTTATGGCTTGAAAATCCTAATTACATAAAAAAATCAATTCAGGTGATAACACATAGAAGCAGTGGGCCATTGGATCGGGTTCCAGTGGCTTATCGGTCTACGAGCTTGCCTTGTAACCAGAAGGTCCTGGGTTCGAACCCCGGCGGGTGCGTACCGATGAAGAGTACCAAACTGGGACAAAACAGCTCTTCAAATGGTTCTCTAACCAATGTCAGCTCACGATGAAATCCTGTAACCAATCAACCAAATCCCTACAAACTAATACTTGAATATAGAAGCAATAAGATGTGTAAAGAATGGAAAGTGATAAGACCCAGGCACAAAACAGATTGGTAGGAAATAATAGGCTTGGAAAGTTGATTAAGGTTATCTGATTACTTATAATAACAAGTCTGTGATGCTGTCTGCATAGGCAACAGAGTATTAGAAAATAATCACGGCTAAGCCCAGCAATTTATTGTCAGATAACAGACAAATATACATACAGATATTATTAATGCAGAGGCAGGCATTATAATGTGGTAAGTCAATCTTTATCGGCATCACAACTACATAACACCTGGAGTTTGACATGAAGGAAGACAAAAATGAACATGATATAACTAATCGCAAAAAACTGTAAGGTGAGAGAATAAAAAACGAATACAGCAGTATGGTATTATAAAAGGTATAGAAGCATGTACTTCATTACAACAGCTTTTAAATTGTACTGACTACAATTTCCGACGTCCGATTTTATTTGTCTCATTGACGTCAGCTGGGTTATATACATTCTTTTTAACAAAGATTATAACAGTAACCAAAGTTCTCATGAACTGTCATATCTTGGTCTGATCACTTCTAGTTTCTCTTTAACCAATAGTCCCATTTTAGTCAACACAACGCTACGGTAAATGACAGATATACATGTACAAAGCCTCACCCGGCTATGTTCAACGAACAAAAAGACTGAGGACGTAAATTTAGCGTGTGACAAGGAGGAGTAAAAACCTAAGCACCGAAAAATACCCAAAAACTGGTATCAATTTACAGAAATGAAATTTTTTTAGAACTATATGTCAAACTTACTCAATTTAAGATCAATGTCTTGTGCATTTGTAGAAGTTTTATTAGAATCATTTGTAGGAGGAGTTTCAACTTTTACACGTTCTTTACTTAGTAGAAATGAAGCCAAAGATGCACCACTATGAAAACGTAGACCACCCGTCTGTTTAGAATATTTTACTCGAGGATCAATCAAATGTACAAAAGCTGAATGATCAGAACAGATTACAGAGCCATAAGGAACAGCACTACACTCGAGTGCAGTTAAATTTTGCCAACCTGAATTTTCCGCATGACTGTTAGATCGCACCTAAGATGTAAAACAAACCAGAAATGAAATGAAATTTATAAGAAAATGTATAACAAGTAGTTGTTAAAGCATTTAAAAAAATTAAAAATATAGGAGGAATTAACGTATCCACTAAACACGTTATATAGAAAGAACAGTATCTGTTCTACTCTATTCATATCAGTCGTATACCTTCCACGCATTGACTTCAGTATCAACTGACTTTCTCCTTAGGTAAATAGAAAAGTTTGAACAAAGAAAGAAGAAACATTGGCTCAGAATAACCTGGATCCATTTTATTTCGTTGGTTCTCATCAGTTGCGTACAACCTGAATTCTTTAGTAAAATAAAAGTGTACAATTTTAACAAACTTTTGTCCATTAGCAAGCATATTGTCAGAGCGTCATAGTGAAATAAGGCGTTGCGATTTACAGGGTGTCTAAAGTGTTACGACATATATATATATATATCTTGTTAGAGAGAAGTTTCTTGAAAAAGAATTAATTAACAGTTGTGTTGTTAGGATGGTAACAAAAGAAAATTAGTAATAGTTACGTAATTAGATAAGAGAAGATCAAAATTTTAAAATCTCGGTGCACATGAGGTCAGATGAGAAGTTGACGATGTAATACAGTGAGCAGAACTCAGAAAATCAAGAAAAGGTTATTTCTTAAGAGAGTCAAGCAAAAAATAAGGGAAAGAGGGAGTGAAAACACAAGTTAACAAAATTAGAAAACAAAGAGTTACTAAGAAGTGAGTCACCAGGGTAATCGAAGTCCAACAACCGATTCGTTTTGGACACATAAGTGAGGCTTCAATCGTTTTATTGCTATAGTAACGCCTTATTTTACTATGAAGCTCTGACAATATACTTGCTAATGGATAAAAGTTTGTTAAAATTGTACACTTTCTTATTTTATTAAAGAATTAAGGTTGTACGCAGCTGATGAGAACCAGCGAAATAAAATGGATCCAGATAATTCTGTGCCAATGTTTCTTCTTTGTTCAAATTTATAAAAGGGAATCATTGTATGAAATAGAAAAGTGCTGATTATTCTATTCAGTCATTTCTTTTGCAAGTATAAAATGGTAAACTTACAGGTACGGAAATCACTTCCACTCATTTGTACAAACTTTTAAAGAGTACGGACTTCATGAGTGGTAACATGTTTTTTGGAAAGTTTCACTATAAGAGTACCAAGCATATTTTGAAAACCATAAACTGATTAAAATTACCCATTAAAATTTTCAAAAGAGTGGATACTGAACAAAGAGTACTCTTTTCGATAACTTCATCATCAGGCTCTACAGTTATATATACATTATAGTGAATGAATGAATTAGTGTTATGAGCAACATTAATGTTGTGTAAATAACATCAAATCAATAATATTGATAGATTACAGCTGAATAGCATCAACATAAAATAAGCTGAATGTCAGAAGAATTAGGAAGGATAATATTACAAATTCATGAGTTTATAGTTTCTACTGAAAACCAGGGCAGTAGTAGGGGCTGGACTTGCTTCTTTTGGATACAGAGAGCTGGTTGTTTGAGGCGAATTGTAATAGCCTGTTTGGAGTCTGCGGTGCTTTGATGTTTTGGCAATTTATTAGGCACCCTGTAGATGATACAGAAGGATTCTTCCACGCTTGCTGGCTTTGTGGCAGGTTTGCACCAGATGTCCCAATATCGAGCTGTTAATGGTTTTCACTACACCTTTACTTAGCCATGCTGGGAGATGCTCTCCAGCACGAAGAATAAAGTTCCTAGAGCAACGGCCAATATAACTGGCTCCACAAGCGCAGTTGAATTGATAGATACAATTTGAAGTGGCTAGTCTAGGTACTTCATCTTTCAGTCAAGGAATCACCATCGGTCGTGTAGAGAATAAGACGTGTAGTTCGTCAGCATTAAAAGTTTTTTGAACTGATTTTCTTAATTTCTTCGAAATTATCTCGCTTGGTATATCGCCCATGAATTGTAGTCGTATATAAAGAGGCTTCTTGTCTACAGATAGTGAGTAGTCCTTTTCCGTTTTCTTTGTCATGTGTTTCTTGATAAATTTTTCGGGATAGCCATTTTCGATCAAAGTATCATATACAATGCTTAATTCACCTTCAATTACTTCTTCTGAGCATATAGTTCTAACTCTGTGTCTAAATGTCATTCACGCTTTTCTATTTCAACATTTCCAATACAGATGATGAGTTTGAAAAATCAGTTACTGACCTCCGAATGGAACACACACACACACAAATGGCTTTAAGCTTTGAAGTTTCAAAAGCGAGAGTGTCGCCTTTTAACGAGGTGAGTTTCCTAGATTTCCACATAACATTCCCTCTTTCCTTGACTTATTACCTGCTGACCGAGGTTCAGGAGCGTGTAGGCCGCGAATCGAACCCAGACACCTTCAAAGTAGCTGATGAGCATTCTACCAGTGAATTATAATTTTGAACAGAACAGAGAATTCTCATCAGTGGGAATTATTGCATGATAGTTTCCCCTTGTCGAAGATCTTCAAGTAAAACAGTAAATGATAGTAAATCGTGTGACACACTGTTGTCTGACCTGAAGCGAAAACCAATCCCTTGTGATATTTCTTTTTTGCTTCCTTAAAGAAATGTGAGACATTTGGTTGAGGTCCAATTAAAAGAGGTGTATGAGTAGACTTTTTGACCCAAGAATATAACAACGGCTGAAAAACTGAAGACTGCAAGCAATTACTTTTATTTCACAGTCAACTGATGCTTCGGGATGCCTTGCTATCCACCCTATAATGTTGCTTCTCTTTAGATTTAGTAGAAACTGACGAATCAGCAGGTTGTAGACGTTTCAAATGCTCACGACAGTTGGAAACACCATTAGTGGCCATATTTTAATAGATTCAGACAAACGAAACAATAGAAATTATTTGCAATATAATAATGGATTATTTTTGAAGGCGTAGAGATTTAAACAGGACGCCAGTCAAATTATACATTAGTTCTCTCAAGTATTATTATTATTGCTCCCTTGGGCTCCTAGTGGAACATAGGGCAGTAGTTTCAACTGTACGTCTCCACTTGCTTCTGTCTTCCTTCTGCTGTACTTTTCACCTGAATCCATGTTAGTCCATACTCTTTCAACTCCTCTTCACACGATCTCCTCCATGTCACCCTTGCAGACGTCCCACACGCCTATTCCCTTTCGGGTTCCACTCGAGGGCTTGGCGCGCGATGTCACCCAGCGGTCTCCTCAGCGAGTGTCCGATCCATCTCCACTTTCTCCTGCATATTTGTTGGGCGATTGGTTCTTGCTTTGTTTGTTCCCATAATTCCTTGTTGGTGATTCTTTCCGGCCCAGCCATCTGATCTTCAGTATAGAGCGAAGACAGTTGTTGATAAAGGTAAGGTCTGCAACAGGCTGTTGGAAATATTCTTTGTGACCCTCCCGCCAAGTTTCTGATCCGTATAGAAGAACTGACTTTACGTTTGTATTGAAAATCCGAATTTTGTTGGTGATGCTGAGTGACGAAGATTTCCAGATTGATTTCAGGCTGATGAATGTGTTTCTCGCCTTCCCGATTCGGTCTCGATTTGACATCCTCGTCCGTTCCTCCTGTAGTTGAGACAATGCTCCCTAGATAAGTGAATGAAGTAACCTCTTTCAAATCCCTCCCGTTGATGGTGATTGACGTTGGATGTTGTTGGTTGGTTATTTTCATAACCTCCGTCTTGTCTATGTTCACCTGGAGTCCTGTCTTTGCTGCTTCTTCGACCAGTTTGTCGGTTTTCGCTTGTAAGTCTTCGATTGTGTGTGACATCAAACATAAATCATCCACGCGTGAAATCCAGGTCTTCTAGGTTCTTCACGTCGGTCCAGGATATTCCTGTCTTCTCGTTTCCCACTGTCTGACGCATAATCCAGTCCACCACAATTAGGAATATCATTGGTGATAATAAGAGCACCCTTGTCTGACTCCTGTGTTTACTCCAAACGCCTCGCTGAGTTTTCCGTTGTGGATCACTTGGCAGGTGCCGTTGTCGTACAGCTGTTGAATAAGGTTGATGAATATTTGGGGTACGCCATAGTACTCGAGTAATTTCCAAATTACTTCACGGTCAACGCTGTCGAAGGCCTTCTCAAAGTCTATAAAGTTGAGGTAGAGGTTTGATTGCCATTCCATGCTTTGTTCCATGATGATGATGCGTAGAGTTGCAATTTGGTCAGTACATGATTTGCCTTTCCTGAATCCAGCTTGTTCTGGTCGGAGTTCTGTCTCCAGTGCGTCCTTTAATCTCTCCAGGATGATGCGACTCAGGATTTTACTTGGCGTCGATAGGAGCATGATTCCTCGCCAGTTCTTGCAGAGTGAGGCCTAAGTCGCCCTTCTTTGGTAGTTTCACGAGGTAACCTTTCCTCCAGTCAGTAGGCACCTTTCCCTCCTTCCAGACCTTTTGCAATAATGGAGTCAGCATGTCTGCTGTCGTCTCTGGGTTCGCTTTCAGTGCTTCAGGGGGTATTCCATCTGGTCCGGCTGTTTTTCCAGCTTTCAGAAGTTTGATTGCGTTCAAGACTTCAGCTCTCGTTGGAGGATTGGTGTCAACTTGCAGTTGTGTGCGCGCTGTTGTTGGTATTTCTGGACGGGTTGCAGGTGATGGTCGGTTCAAGAGTCCTTTGAAGTGATCCGCCCATTGTTTAATCTGTTTTTCTTCCTTGGTAATGTGGGTTCCCTTGGCTGTCTTTTATAGGTTTCGCTTGTGTTGATCTCTTCCCGGATAGAGATTTGGTTATCTGATATAGTGTCCTCAGGTCCCTTTTGCCTGCTGCCTTCTCAGCTTCAGTAGCTAGATTGTCGTAGAATCGTCTTTTGTCCTTCCTAGCACTTTTCTTCACTTCTTTGTCCGGTGCGCTGTGTAAGTTGAGCTCATCGTCTCCTTCTCCTGTCCGTCCTTGCATTGAATCATTTTCTCTTTCACCATTCTCCTCTCTTCTATTAATTTCCAAGTGTCCGTTGAGAGCCATTCCTTGTCTTGTCTCTTCTTTCTTCCTAGAACCGTTGAACACGTTTCGTTGAGAATCGCCTTCAGAGACTTCCAATGTTCTTCCACGCATGATTCTTCAGTGATGTCGCGTAGTGTTTCCTGCTTTGCTCTGACAGTTGCAGTGAAAGTGTCTTTTGTGGTTGTGTCCTTCAGATTTTGAGTGTTGAACTTGCATTGTGGCCTATCCCCAGCTATCCTCGAGGCTTTTAGTTTCACCTTGAAAGTCCCTTGTACTAGATAGTGGTCTGAACCCACATCTGCTCCTCTCCTTGACCTTGTGTCCAGTAGGCTCCGTCTCCACTTTCTTGAAATTGAGATGAAGTCTATTTGATTCTTGGTGTTTCCATCTGGTGAAATCCATGTCGTCTTGTGTATATCCTTGTGTTTGAACACACTACCACCAATCACCAAATCATTGAAGGCGCAGAAGTCTGAGAAGAGTTCACCATTGTCGTTCATTTCGCCGAGGGCCTCACGACCCATGGTGAGTTCTCTTCCTGTGTTGTCTCCTCCCAGCTTCGCATTCATGTCGCCCATCAGGATTTTGATATCGCCATTTGGGACGTTGTCCATTACCGTTTGTAGTTGTCTGTAGAACGCCTCCTTCTTCTCTTGTTCTGAGACGTTTGTAGGCGCATAACATTGAATGACTGTAACTTTCCTTCCTTTTGAGTTGAACCTGGCTGTCATTATCCTGGAGGAGATTGGTTCCCACTGCATGAGAGCTTTGGCTGCTGTTGGTGACATCATGATGGCCACTCCCTCGGTGTGCTCATGGTTGTCCTCTAGGTGGCCGGAATAGATTACCGTCTCTCCAGTAGGTAGTTGGCACCTTCCAGTTCCGTTCCATCTGCTCTCGCAGATGGAGTTGCTAGCACCACGCCCCAACCCTCCCTCTTTGCCCGGGCTTGGGACCGGTGAGAAAACTAGTAAGCTAGTAGCCTAGCAAGCTAGTATCTGGCGAGGTTGTTCTCTCAAGTAACTGGCCAGAATTAGAGTAGTTCCGAATTGATTCAGCTCTCTGACCTGAATCCATACATGCGCAGCACTAGTGTGCATGAATACAAAAGAGTGAAGCGCCAGTTCAACGTTAAGATAACTTAGATCTGTTTATGAAACACTACTGGTTGGTGTGAGTAGTTTTCAACTACTTAAATCAAATAGTAGTCTATCTAATCTTGTTAAAAGTCAATAAAATTGAATAGGAATAATAACACAATTTGTTATCAGTTTAATAACTAATATAAATCTAATTTACAAAAAAAAAAGAAATACAAGAAAGTAAATTTACCGTTTGTCCTGTACACGGATCCCAAAAGAGTAGATTGCCATCAATAGAAGCTATCAGTCTATGCGGTTCCAGATAGTGAGCAGCTACTACAGACTTTTTATGTGCTCTATAGACTAAACGAGCAATTAACTGTTGACTGTTTGAATCAACAGACGGTGTAGTCTTGCTTGAACTACTTACACTGTTGCTTTTTTGATTTCCTGTTGATGATGATGATGACGACGATAAGCAATGACTGCCAAGATTATATGTAGTAGCCAAAGACCACAGCTGTACAGTTTTATCACGACTTGATGTAATGAAACAATTTTCAGTATTTAAACATGTGATACGATTAATTTTACTGGTATGACCTGAAAGACAAGTATTAATTTGAGAGAAAAGCAGTGATTTAAGTCTGGTGGAGAATAAGTCAATGCATAGAAGAAGAAGAAGAAAGGCGTAAACAAATGAAAATCTATCAGAGTAAGTAGGCAGAGACAGATAGCTACAGAGAAATATCCATTTAACTGAAGTGTAATTAAATATTGAATTGAATTTTTGATTTTCCCGTCGATTGATTGGACCGAAGTGCTCGGTCTCAGGTTGACATGTCGGCTTCTTGTGCAGATGCTTCGACGATGTCTGCACAAGAAGCCGACATGTCAACCTGAGACCGAGCACTTCGGTCCAATCAATCGACGGGAAAATCAAAAATTCAATTCAATAATTAATATGACCCGTTGCACAAGAGGTGGCTCTCGTGGCCCAAGTGGTCTAGTGGATAACGCTTTGGCGTTTGAAACTATGGGCACTGGGTTCGAGCCTCGGTGGGAACATCATCACTCACTGAGAAATGCAGGTACATCCAGCTGACGAGTCCCAAATAGGACGAAATGAGCATCCTGGATTCCACTGCTAGCCACCATCCACGAAGTGTAATTAAAGTCTAAATAAAATATAGATCAGTCAAGAAATCAATTGTTGAAGTTGAAGTTTTCTTCGCAACTTCAATGAACATCACATCCGCATCGATTTGTTGCATTCGAATAAATTAGTCTCAAATAATTATCCCTATACAATAAGACTTCACTGACAGAATTCAGTTTGAACAAAGCAAGAACTACAGTTTTAGCAGAATAAGTTCCACTTCCTCGACATTGCCATGGAACGCCTAGAAGATGGTACTCTTCAGAAGTCAATTTATCGAAAGCCTGCATGGAAAGGACAATACTTACATTTTAATAGCTTTTGTCCAAAAAGCTTTAAACGTGGACTAGTCAAGACTGTGTACTATAGAGCGAGGAGAATATGCTCTATAGAGAAATTAGAGGAAGAATTTGAATTTCTTGAGAAGATACAATTGGTGGATGGTGGCTAGCAGTGGAATCCAGGATGCGCATTTCGTCCTATTTGGGACTCGTCATCTGGATGTATCTGCATTTCTCAGTGAGTGATCACGTTCCCACCGAGGCTCGAGCCCAGTACCCATAGTTTCAAAAGCCAAAGCGTTATCCACTAGACCACTTGGGCCACGAGAGCCACCTCTTGTGCAACGGGACGGAGCACTTCGGTCCAATCAATCGACGGGAAAATCAAAAATTCAATTCAATAATTCTTGAAAAGATATTGAAGAGCAATGGGTACCCTCAAAGGTTCATCAACAAGTATAAAAGATCCGAACTCACAAATGTAAAACAAATTCACAGAGGAGAAAAAGCCAATATACATTCAACTTGATTATAAAGGTGAAAATATTGCAGCACTGATCAACAGAAGGCTGAGTACATCACTAGTCATAGCCTATTCTGCAGCTAAACTCGTCCCCGTCTATCGAACAACTTGCTCTTTGGTGCAATCAAAAATCGATAGATATTCTTTTCATATCAAGTCCAACTGTATATACAAATTTACATGTATCTACAGGAGCAGTTAAATTGGAAGGACAGAAAGAAGGGTGTATCTATGATTTTCTGAACATGTACCAAAAAGCTGACGTCTAAGGGGAACACATGCTTTAAACAGTGCAATCGCCAGGCATCTTCTAGACATGGGTCATGAAGTGGACGTCAAAAAATCGATCAAAATTATCAATAGGCAAAAGAGCTCAATTCTCCTCAACTTCGCTGAAGCCATTTCCATCAAGCATCTGAAACCGGATTTATGCGTCCAGAAAGAAGCAGTTATCAGTCTTTCTTTGCCCTGGTAACTGGATATTTTCACAACTCTTTCATATAAATGCCAAATGCTGAAAAGTTTCCATTGTGTTTAATATTATATATATATATATATATATATATATATAATTACTGTATGCAAATATTGATCGATTGATTTTTGTTTAAAATGAAGTCTGTGCAAGTATGTTAAAATTGTTTTTGTAGACATATTTAATAATGTCTTCGCCCTGTAAGCAGCTGACGCGAAGGCAACGAAAAAAAGATGGTAGCACTTTATTCTGCAAAAACTGTAGTTCTTGCTTTGTTCAAATTCATTAAGGGGAATAAATATGTGAGAATTCAGTTTGTACCAAAACCAAGTACTACACGCAGGACATTGGTTATTGCTTAGTGATTAATCAATCCATCCATTACAGTCCTAAAGGAGGTCAATCGTGAGCCCTAATAATTCAGTGATTATATCTCTGAATACAGCACTGATTGACGATGGTTAAAATCCAAGAGCGGATATCAGTCTCTTCAAAGTTGCAGACATGCCTCGTTGACGAGAGTCAAAAAGCACGAAACCAAGGTTCATTAATTCCTAAAGATGACCTCAAATGACCTAGTACTGTAATAAATAATTATGTAAACAGATAATCACCACACGAATCATAGTAGTATTTAAAATTATGTAGATTCAAGAAAAAGGTAATTTGAAAGGAATATTTTTCAATTTCAAATCACACACGTCAGACAGTTTATTTTATTTTTATTGATTTCAAAACTTAGAGACTCATGTGCATCCAACAAATGAGTATACACAGACCTACACACTTATTTAAATAGTGATTGACACTCAAGCTAACTAATTAGCACTTCTATGATTCTATTTTAAAATCTAATCTCTTGAGTGATTTGTATTTTCCAAAATGATGAATAGACATACAGGAGTTCAAAATTATCTACCAATTTGATAGTACTATTACAATGCTCAGTCAATACTGCCTACCATTCACTGGTTTGAAAACGTGTCAAAAATTATAAGGTAAAAGTAAATTTAAGTGTTGGATTGTAGGGATATCATTGGTTATAGGATTTCATTATGAGCTGACATCAATTACAGAACCATTGGAAAACCTGGGAGTAGTGGACAGCTCTTCCATCCTAGTTTGGGACTCTTCAGCAGTACACGCTCACCGCCAGGGTTCGAACCAAGGACCTTCTGGTTGCGAAGCGAGCTTGTCGACCATTAAGCCCTTGCGACCCGATCCAATGGCCCATGAATTCTAACTTCTGCCAATCCACGATACAGCGCAACCACTAGACAATGTCTTCGGCAAATATTTGTCCTCACACCCGACCTGCTGCACCTCACTAGTCACAAATTCCCACTAGAACCCCAGATAACTACCTACCTGAACAGGGCCAGTCGCCAGTGTGCATCTCATCGATATTTAAGTGTTGGTTTGTAGGGATTTGATTAGTTACAGGATTTCATCATGAGCTGACATTGGTTAGAGAACCATTGGAAAGTTTCATGCCCTAATTATTAAACGACGCATAAAAGCGATAATTATTTACTGAATCAATATGCTTCATCCATAGTTGTCTAATCAAGGTTGACTAAAGTGAGAACAAGTTTGATAACTACCGAAAAAAACTGTAAGCAACAAAATTATAAACCAATTAAATAATTAGAGTGTTCTTGATTCAGATAATCTAACATGAATATGAGTGACTGATGCTGCTACTACGGTGAAGTTATCTTCAATTCGTCAAATGAGTCACTGGATTATTTCAAAACAATAGTAGCTAAGGTGAACAAAGAAATATTATTGGATATCATTTTGTATTCTTTTTGTGGTGATTATCTGATAATTCCATTGAACGTTGAAAGTGTAATCTCCGCAAACGCGTAGCTGAACAATACCCCGGTTTGATTAATGAAAGGTGAGCAAAGGACGACAAAGTCTTCAATCTGTAAACACTTTCTGGAATCAGGTTATTCAGCCCCAAGTGATTTATCCTTTAAAGTCATCTACAGGACCAAATCCAATCACTCCAAAAGCTTACGTTTTCTCCACTAATGCACAGCCGAAGCCCTAGCTATACATGGACAAAAATCTAAATTATATATTCAAAAATGTTTTGTCAAACCCCTTTGTTTACCTTGGTCATAGTAATGTTCTTTTATTTTATTTTATTTCACCGCTTGAATTCATTCCAATTTACTTCACCTTCGCCGTCTTTATTGTTATCATCACCATGCTCTTAATGTTTTAGACGACACTTGACCTACTATCTTAAAATCTTTATACCAAGTTCACTTATTTAATAATCTTTAAAAGTTTTGCAATTCATCCACTTCAACTCAACCCCTTTAGTACATTAGTTTAATTATATTTATTCTTATCATATGTATGCTGACTGAGCAGTTTCAAGTACCACTTAATGCCATTTTCTGTAATATAAATACGACTGTACAACTTGAAAATTAATTCGTTGAAAAGAGATATTTCTTCACTGTATTAAAACTGTGTTTTTTCTTTATCTGATAATGCCTAGGGTTGACAGGCTACTATTGGTGTAATGCATAAGTGATTGAAACTGAAATAAAATTATGCGTCATGCATCTGTTCACACTAACAGGCTCCAGGCGATCTACTACAATTTGAGCGATGGTACCTAACTGCAGTGAAATGATAACTAAGCTGGCAACTGCACCTCGTAGTTCAGTTAGTAAAGTGCCGGACTAGTAATACGGAAGTCGTCAGTTTCAAATCCACAGCAAACTAGATTTTCACTTCTTTTTCAAAACCTATGGAATATATATATATATAGTAATTCCTTTAGATTATAGATTTTAGACGGATTTGGATTATTTTTAAATCAACATTGAAATTAATCCGAATTTCTACAAAATTCTATAACCTAACTATCAATTTCTAGCTCATTGATGGCTCCTGGATGTATGTCCTGAAAGTTTCCGGTGGGTTCCACCATGTCAAGGTGAAGTGGATGCTTATCGAAGGTGTTGGTTGAAGGTAGCGCTATATCATGAATTGACAAAGATAGAATTCAGGGATCACTGAATTCCAGCAACCTAAGTGGATTAATGGTCAATAAGCTCAATCACGTAACCTAAAGGTCTCAAGTCCCATCCCTGGTGAGGCTCATGGGTTAGCGCACTGATAAAGAGTCCCAAAACTAGGAAGAAACAGCTATACCCAATGATCTCTAATTGACGTTGGTTCATGACGAAATCTATATTGAAATTAATTTCTTTACATTTTAGTTAACTTGTTTTTAAAGAATACACGATAATATGAAATCAGCCAATCGTTGCACAAATAAACTTTATTGATATTAGATGGTTGGGAGGCAATCGGCAGGAGGCCTTTGGACGAGGTTTCGTGTTAGTTGGCACTCACCAATCAGCAAGGCGTATCTGCAATCTTAAATGAACTCCAGTCCCTTCTGGGATTCAAACCCGCGTCACCCATTGCTGAAATCAGAGACTTTCCCACTGAACTATTCGGGATCAGTTGTAATAGTCTGAATAGCTCAGTGGTATCGACTCTGACTTCAGCACTGTGTTACGCGGGTTTGAATCTCAGAAAGGACATGAGTTCATTTAAGATTGCAGATACGCCTTGCTGATTGGTGAGTGCCAACTAACACGAAACCTCGTCCAAAGGCCTCCTACCGATTGTCTCCAACTATCTAATATCAATAATTCACAGTGCACCATGAGGGCGGGTAACCTAGAATGGTGGTTATACTGCGAACTTGTCTGAGAGAACTTAGTCTGCGCCAAACAAAAGACTAAACACACTACATTAGTTAACTAACCAGTGTCAAATAAACTTTATTTGAAAAGTATTCATATTAATAAGAATACGATCATCAATATGTAGAGTACAATGCACACAGGCAGATTTATAAATTTACCTGTAAAAGCAGCAATTTGAATACCATGATATTTATACGGAACGGAAGGTAATGATTTAGTATCTATGGCATCATGAACAATTTGACGCCAAACACCGCGCAGATGAAAACTACTATCATTACATAGTGTTGAATTGACAAACTGAAATCAAAATATGCAAGTAGGTTAATTTCTTTGCGATAGAAGTAGAAAAATAAATAACTTTAGAAGCAAATTTTTGCTTTTTGAACAATTAGAATGTAGAAATAAAGGGGGGGGGAAGACTTATAAATTTATTTAATCATTTTTTGATTTCTGTCTATGTACCAGACGACTATGAGCCACATTTATTGTGTTACGGGGGGTTGTTGGTCATACTACCCCGTTTGCCCAGACACTGAGATAGGTGGAGTGGGGCTCATTAAAAAAATACAGATCTTCTGAAGTACACCACTTTTTTACACCTGAAATAAGTTTTGTGCCTAGTAATTGCCAAATTCATCAAAGCACCGCAGACTCCAAACAGCAGAGGCTATTGCCATTCGCCTCAAATAACTAGTGCTCTGTGTTCAAAAGAAGCAAGTCCAGCCCCTACTACTGCCCTGGCCTTCAGTAGAGACCATAAATTCATGAATTTGTAATATTATCTTTCCTAATTTTTCTGACATTAGGCTTTTATGTTGATGCCATTGGACTATAATCTAATGATATTATTAATTCGATGTTATTTAAACATGATTGTTGTTCATAACACTAATTCATTCATTCACTATAATGTATATTTAACTGTAGAGCCTGATGATGAAGTTATCGAAAAGAGTATTCTTTGTTCAGTATCTATTCTAGAACAGCTGAATACTTCATATGATCGATTAAACACTAATCAGTGCTCCAGTATAACAAACGTTAATCACACACATACACATATGGAAATGATGAAAAGTCTGATCAACATAGTCAAAATGTGATTGTTTATCATTGTAACATGAACAGAGTACATACACTCAATTGTGCAACAATAGCATAAAAATACACGTTACATGTTTGTAGTGTAAAATTGCATAACATAATGATAAATTATACTGTAAATTTGATTAGTAATAAGTAAGCAACTTAAAAATATATTAGAGGTTAATTTGGTGGATGGTGGCTAGCAGTGGAATCCAGAATGTGCATTTCGTCCTATTTTGGGTTTCGAGCCCCGGTGGAAACATCATCACTCACTGCGGAATGCAGGTACATCCAGTGACGAGTCCCAAATATGACGAAATACTCATCCTGGATTCCACTGCTAGTCACCATCCACCAAATTAACGTCTAATTACATGCCCAGACATCGTCGAAGCATCTGCACAAGAAGCCGACGTGTCAAACTGAGACCAAGCACTTTGGTCCAATCAATCGACGGGAAAATCTAAAATTCAATTAATTAAAAATTATATTATTCCATTGTGGATAAGCATACTGCCCGACAAAAATCAGTGGACAACTGTTACAAAATACTTGTGAACATTTCATTAAATTGGATGATCAAGTCTAGAGTCATTAGGCTTTTTTTGTGTGATGAATAACCACTAGGCTAAAAAACAAATAGCTCCCATTTTCCTACAACTTTTTCTTACTCACTATATTAACTGTGACTATCACCTTATGTGTATTGATGAGTAATTATTCTAACCTCTATGAGATAGCTGTTCAGTGCATGATTATTTCTAATTGTTCACTCTAGCTTGCATCGATCTCTAAAAGAAAACATGCTAGAAATAAATCATTTTTTTTAAACAAATAATTGACTGAACAAATATTTCACAAGTCATTAGAAATTATGAAATGTTAGTTTGCAAGAATTTGATTGGTTACAGGATTGATCACGAGGTGACGTCAGTTAGAGGACACCATTGAAAAACCTGGGACCCAGGAGGTCTTAAGTTCGAATCCCAGTAGATGCATACTAATGAGGAGTCACAAATCAGGACGAAACAGTTGTTCAGTACTCCTAGGTTTTTCAGTCGTTATCTTCTAACTCGTGTCCGCTGTTGACCAATCCTGTAATCATTAGAAAGTCTAGCAATAACAATTTAAATGTGATTTGGTTGAGTTAACAGGATTTATAAAGTTTGTTTTTAAGGCGGGGGGGGAGTATAACAGAAACACTACCCGCCTGTTCAATAATGTATAAAATTGATATGGAACTAACAATAAGACCTGGGGGAACCCTAAAAAGGTCCGTCCATAAGAAATCCACATGGAACGGTCAACTGACAAGTTTCGACAGCTAGGTGCCTGTTGAATGACAGAGAAATTTGGTTAAATCTCTTACCATTGGCATTCACCGCATTTAAACTTTTGATGCTTTAGAAGAAGAACTCGAAGAAACTTTCAACCCAAATGGATATCTGCCAAGATTAATAGACAATGTAATTAGATTGAATAAAGACAGAACGAACATATTGTGCAGGATAATACGAGCTCGTTGTATTTTGTCTCTAGTCTATCCTTGTTTCGGAGCTAAATCTGAACCCTACTCTATTCATGTCTAATGATATTATAAACAATCTTTTAACACAGAGTAGTTTCTCTATACTTACATCACTTTTGGAATCATGTTGCTTATACTTTCCATCTATAAGTCGAAATCACTGTGCAAAAGCATGTTCAAAAATTTTGTAACCTACAATTTGATTCTTTTTTTAAAGGAGTCCATGAGATAAAACAAGCTCGTATTATCCTGCAGATATGCCTACTCTTTCTTGATTCATATGAAATTGAAAATTTCACTTCTAAAAAAATCCATACTTTTTGTTTATTTTTTGAGGTATTTAAAAAAAAAATCTGTTAATATTTTGAGTAAATAAGGAGTAGAAATGACTCGATGTATTATTACTATTATTACAATTGAGAAAATTATATGAAGTCAACACCTATGTATTATATCAATAATTTACATAACTTAATAAAAACAACTCAGAGAACATAGTATATTAGTATATATATTAGTATATTATTATTCTGATAAAGACGGTATCTAAAGTTCTAGGGTCAATAATAATGCGTAGACTAGGCGGTCCACGGGAAGCACAAACACGAGGAAACCAGATAGGCTTTAGAACACGAAGAGAGTGCACTGATCATATCTTCACCCTCGACAGATTCTGGATCATAGGCATACTTACTGGCATCCAATAATCGTTATATTTCTTGACCTGAAAGCGGCATTCGACTCCATCAACCAAGAGGTGTTATCGCGGTATTTTACTGTGAACGGAATGTCCAGAAAATACATCCCACTGATCAAGGCACTCTACTCGAAATCATGCAACCAGCCAAGTGCGAGCCAACACAGTCGTCATTTGAAGTGATGGCAACCAGTGGTGTCCGTCAAGGATGCCGACTGTCCCCATTTCAATTCAATTTCATCATAGATGTACTAATGGAATTAACCCAAACTCACTACAGCGACTCAGGGATTGAATTGTTACGGGGAGAATAACCTCGTTCACTGAGAATATGCAGATGACATAGTCCTCCTTCCTAGGTGAAGAGGCTGACAAAATGCAGAGTCTTCTGAGCACCTTGAGCTGCAGTCTTTAAATGTTTGCCATGTTATTCACTCCCGTCTAATGTACGATGATGCTACAAGACTGACTAGACAACATCGACTCACTCCTACCTTAAAGATAGGGAGTGAGGTGGTAGAGCATGCTAAATTCCACTTCACTTATTTGATGGGTTATATCCGCCAGCCCCAGTGGGTTGATTACTGACGAAATCTCAGCACAGAAACAGATGACTCACGTCGCATTCGCTAACTTATGCCACTTCTGGTGTAGACGTGATATCCGGCTGGCTTTCGACCAAAGGGCGTGTGTACTGCTCATCAGTCCGCTCCGTCCTCCATTATGGCAGTGAGATATGGACATCGAAAGTGGAAGACACGAGAAAGCTAGTTGTCTTTGATCACAGGTGTCTATGTCCTATCTCCCGTGTTACGTGGTATAATAGGACGAGTAATATTGAGGTTAGGCTCAGTCGAGTGCTAGGTAAGGAGGAGAAATCAATCGACGAGGTTGTCAATTTACATCGATTGAGATGATTAGGACATGTGTTAGGCATTCCTAGCCTAGTCCAGCCTAGCCACCGCTTTCCTCGACGGGCGATGTTAGCTGACGTCGGATCAGGTTGGAAAACAGCTGGTTAGTGGTGGTCAAACCAAAACATAGCTTCATCAGCCAATGAAATCCACAACTGTTAGTTTAAGTCAGCCATCCAGGTAGGGAGGTGTAGACTGTCAGCTTGGTTGAGGTCAATGTGATGGTAAAAACCAAGGTCTGAAAACAATTGGTGATATGGCTCAAAATCATTCTCAATGGCTGGTGCAGATGCATTCTCTCTTCGTGATTTATCATACTCAGTAAAACTCTTTTGTTCTTCCATATTACTAATCTGTCTGCCTCACACTTATGCTTATTATCTCTCTCTACTCTCTTTCCTTGCTTGGTGTGTTACATGGAGTGTGGCGACTCGAACTGGCGCACATCTGTGCAAAGTTCTACGTTGAAACATGTTAGTCAGAGAGACATAGTATTGTTCTAAAGGACCATGGAGATATCCGTAAAGGTCAGTTATTAGTATCAGTTGACAACAAAACAAGAGATTAAATATGAGGGAAAAAGGAATTTAGAAGTTTAAAAATAAGCACTTCTGAACGCTAAACATCAATTATTTTTTTTGCGATTACGTAAGACTACTTAGCTAAGGCTTGCAACTTAATTGTTTTAGTTTTCCTAGTATGTAATTTCTTCATATGTTTCATATCATTACCAGCTGATATGATTAGCCAACCTTTAAATCAATTTTCATGGAATTTTAGAAATCAGTGGAGAAAAAAGATTTAATCAATTATAATTCACTCACCAAAGTAGTTTCAAAATCGATTTTATTACGCGTCGTTTGTGTACCTTTAATATTATTATTATTACTATTAGTAGTAGTAGTAGTAGTAGTAGTAGTAGTAGTAGTAGTAGTAGTAGTAGTAGTAGTAGTAGTAGTAGTAGTGTTACAGTCAGAATGTTTACTGACGCTTGTACAAGATTCATTTAGTGTATCATTGGTTGATTTTGAACTGGACTCATTAAATATCGATTGATTGATTAGCTTTTGTATAGACTGTGCATTGTACAAGCAGTCATCAATGTATGTACCACCTGTCAGAATAAAGACAACAACAATAACAATAATCATAATAATAAACCTGAAAATGTTTCATATAGAAAAACATTTCCATAAAGGAAAAAGTCTTAATTTTTATGAATGAATTTCATAACAATAAAATCTCGCACTAATTTAACATTATCCACAACCTAAGATAATATTGACAATATGACAGTGATTAATAATAACGAGGCTGTTGACCACTGCTTATTATAAAAAATTCCACAAATGTCAAACTAAAGCGAATAGGGCAACCTACTGAAATCGTCAGCAATATATACTACATATATATCTATGGGGAGCACACACACACGCGCACGCAACACCACATCATAGGGAAGAGAATACATACGAGAGAAAGCAAATGAATCGTTCTACATAATTCAGCGTATCTTAAGAAGTTAATGTAACAGTATAATTTGGGAAACTATTTAGACTCATCAGGGAAACGGGTGGGAGAAGACAAATCATTAGTGAAACAATCTCGGAGAAAAATAGCACTATAATTAGCTCCCAGGATAGACGACTGGATCGCTGGAAAGAGCACTATGAGGAGCAGTTTAATTGGCCCACAGCCACGCTCAACCTGCCGAACATCTAACAACTCCCTGAATGGGATATAGACACAGGTCCTCCATCCCTAACTGAGGTTCTAGGCAGCGTCTGGGAATCAGAAGAAGTCCCATCGGGTTGGTGTAAGTCACTGATTATCCCCATATACAAGAAGGGAGACAAGTCTTCCTGTGATAATCACAGAGGGATTAGCTTGACCAATATAGTATCTAAAGTCTTAGGCTCAATAATCATGCGTAGACTGAGTGGTGCTCGGGAAGCACAAACACGAGAGAGCCAGGCAGGCTTTAGACCAGGAAGAGGGTGTATTGATCATATCTTCACCCTCCGACAGATTCTAGAACATAGGCATTCCTACCGGCGTCCAACAGTCATTATATTTCTTGACCTAAAGGCAGCATTCGACTCTGTCGATCGAGAAGTTCTCTGGAGACGCTTGGCTGTAAAGGGAATTCCAAAAAAATATATTGCACTGATTAAGGCACTCTACTCGTACTCATACAGCCAGGTGAGGGCTTACGGCGAGCTGTCATCTGAACTGATGACGACTAGTGGTGTCCGTCAAGTAGGCCCATTATCCCCATTTCTATTCAACTTCATCATAGATGTACTAATGGACTTAACCCTAAGTGACTTCAGCGACTCAGGGATTGACTTGCTACCAGGGAATAATCTCGTTGACTTGGAATATGCAGACGATATAGTCCTTCTACGCGAAGACGCTGACGAAATGCAGAGTCTTCTAAACACCTTGAGCCGCAATCTACGAATGTTTGGCATGCGATCCGCTCCTGCCAAATGCAAGATGATGTTACAGGACTGGACTACATCTACGCCTAGTTTAAAAATAGGAAGTGAAGTGGTAGAGCACGTTGACCGCTTCACTTCACTTATTTGGGAAGTACCATCAGTCAGTGCCAACGGGTTGATCTCTGACGAAATCTCAGCTGAGTACGGATGCAGAGGGCTCGTTTCGCATTTGCCAGTTTACGCCGACTCTGGCGTAGACGAGATGTTCGACTATCGACCAAAGAGCGGGTATACTGCTCATCAGTCCGCTCCGTCCTCCTTTACGGCCAGCTGTGAGACCTGGCCACTGAGAGTGGAAGACAGGAAAAGATTAGCTAGCTGTCTTTGATCATAGGTGCCCGCGCTCTATTTCCCGTGTAAAGTAGGATAATAAGGTGAGCAACATTGAAGTTAGACGTCGAGTTCTAGGTAAACAGGGGAAATCAATCGACGAAGTCGTGAAGTTACAAAGACTGAGATGGTTAGGACATGTGTTGCGTATGCCAAGTCATCGCCTCCCTCGACGAGCAATGTTAGCGGATATAGGGTCAGGCTGGAAAAGAGCCAGTGGTGGTCAAACAAAAACTTGGCACCAGTCAATGAAATCCACAAGAGTTAGTTTAAGCCAGCCACTTAGGAAGGTGTAGACTTCCAGGCTGGGGTCCTCAGGACGGTAAAAATCTATGGTTGGAAACAATTGGTGACATGGCTCACACTCATCGTTCTCAATGGCTGACGCAGATTCATCCACTCCTTGTGACTTGTGATCTCCAATGAAACTGTTTTGTTCTTCGTTATTACTCCTTTGTCTCACACCTCTGCTCACTGTTTCTATTATGCTTTTCTTGTACTTTCTTCTCTTGCTTTGTGTGCTACAAGGAGGGAGTGTGGCGACTTGAACTTCGGCAAATTTGTGCAAAGTTCTAGGCGAAAACAGACAGACAGATAATTTGGGCACTTTGGTGGGATTGATTAGTTACAGCTACGATTACAAGTAGTGCGTCGGTAGAATGATCGCCGACCACGCAGGTGGTTCGGAGTCCGATCCCCGGCCACCGACGCACTCCTTTACCTAAATAAGCCAGTAATAAGACTGGTAAAGAGGAAAGGTTGGGCATGAGGCTAGCGACCCCATCCGGTAAAAATAAAAACATTACTGCTGCCGAAACTTCGAGCCTCTAGCTTGAAGCCCTACGTTGCACTGGGGAACGTAAAGAAATAAAAAAATCAAGGATTACGAGTTGGCAACAGTCAGATAACCATTGTTAAACCTGGAAGTATTAGACATCTGTTTCGTCCTAGTTTGGTACTCCTCATCAGTAAGCACTCACCCAGTGGGGTTCGAACTTACAACCTTCCTGTTTTACAAGGCAAGCTCGCAGATCAGTGGTCGAATGGTATGTTTATTTGATAAAATAAACTGTGTTTGACCTCTTCCACATTCAAGACCAAATATTGGGGAATTTTCATTTTTATTATAACCTATAAATATTTTAAAATAAGCAATAAAGGTTAATAAAGCAGGATTTAATGAATTCATCAAATTTCGGTAGAAATCGTCAGCTGAATACTCTACATACACGGATAAATATGCTTTTGAAATTACATTGGGAGATATAAGACTGATAAGTAAATAAACTACATTGAATTAGTCATGCAGAAAGACAGGTGCGATTGTTTTCCAGGTCATGTCCAAATGCATAAGGGAAGAGGGAATATGAGAGATCAAAATTAAGATAAAATACATCACGCTTCAATTATATCACTTAGATAAACATTTAGTCATTAGATTACTCCAAAACATGTCTTTCATTCTATCGAAAATTTCGCTTACCAGCAAGATGACAAAATGAAATATATGCCAAACGAGCAAGATCACAATCGAATGTTTCCACCAACTCAGCCATAATACAATTTAAACTAGAAGTTTGTGACGAATTCGTATCATTGGAGCTAACTTGGCTGACTTTGGTATCAACAATACCACTAGTTGTGGCATTAGTAGTAGTAGTAGTAGTAGAAGTATCCTCCTTGACTTGATAATTATTATCTGTAAATATAAGAAGAAATTTTCATTGGACAGGCAAACAAATAAATCAATAAATAATAATGCAAATTAATAACTAATCGCGAAAAAGCTTTTTAGTTGACGGCAACTAGCACTGGAATCAAGGATACGTAATTTGTCCCATTAATGACTTTTCAGCAGGATATGCCTGCAATAGCAGAGAGCATTTGTTTTCCGACTAGAACTTGAACGCTGCACCCATCGTTTCAAACATCAGAGCATTACATAACCTAGGCTACGAGTCCCAAATTGGATGAACACCGTGCATCCTGGATTCGACTGCTAGTTTCACAATCAACCAAAAGAACCTCATATTAACCCTTACACATCGTCGAAGCTGGTAAGTCGTCAGAGACTGAGTATTTTCGTCTGAAATAATCAATCAACGCATAATGCAAATTAGCAGTAAAAATAAATCACGCCAAAGGTTATCAAGAGATACAATTATAGAATTTAAATGCGGTCGGTCACTTCAGATAGAAGCGTGCACTGAAGATGTTGTCTAGAAGGACAGCTGAAACTTCGAAATTAGACTATTCAGCTTTGAGAACACAACAACATCAAAAATAATTAATCTGCAACAGGTAATGATTGAAGTGGAAATGAAAGCCTGTATTGTGATAGGTTTCGAACCAGTAGCCTATGAATTGCCAGTTTGGAGTTCTTTTTAAACTAAATAACAAAAAACTGTTTCGTTACGTTAGCAGTCATGAAAGATTTAAGTGCGTTGACGTAAAATTTATGTTAAATCAAAAATTCCATATAAGTTCGTTTATTAGATGCATCACACAGTCTTGAAACAGTATTATTTACTGGATGACGTCGGTAATACAATTTATTGTTCATAATCACATCAATTATAATCACACGACTTCGAAACTTGAGTTTTATAGTTTTCTTTGTCCTCTCCTATTTGTTGTGGGGGTAGTAGAATTCTTCAGATGTCTGGGACAAATGTTGAATCATCCTTATTACACGTATTTGCAGTTGATTCGATAAACAAAGCTTCTGTTATCAATCTCTTCCTATACCCTGTGACATCAGATTTTAAAACTGTCATCTTATCTCATCCTATTATGTGGTTGGGTGTAATGGCATGCAGTGAGTGGTATAGCTGAACTAACTATTCTCTAGATTTCTAATCTTATTCGGGTCAACCAATATAGATTTTGCTGAGTTATGTTCAGCTAGTCTGACTGCCCCTGTTCTACTAGTTTGACCTATGTATTTGACCTGACAATCATCCCATTAGGGTATTAAAGGCTCCACAGGATCCACCATTTAACCGACAAAACTTGTTTCTAATTGAGTTTGTGGGTTTGAATGCAAGTCACTTTTATTCCTGCCTTGTTAAGAATTTTGCGTCAGGTTTCCGAGGTTCCTTCCTTGTATGGAATTACTACTGATGATTTACATTCCTTATTGTTGGTGTTATCTTGCGCATGTTTGACAGGCATGTCTCATTAATATTACTATCATTATCACAATCATTACTATCATTAATTTTATTTTTACATTTCCCTGCATACTTTCTGACTAATTTATCAGGGTAATTATTAAGTTTCAAAGCTTCCCTTATATGTCTCACTTCCTGTCTTGGATTTTTCTTGGTACTACTCAGCTTTTGTGCTCTATTACTTAAACATTTCACCAATCCTATTTTTACTGACATAAGATGGGATGATCGGAAGTCCAAATATCTGTTTGAATGTGTGGGTTTCCTGTAAACACTAGTGTTTAACTTCCCATCTTCTTTCCTTTTTACGCTACAATCTAGCATTGGAAGTTCCCCTTTCTGACTTTCCAATTCATAAGTGAATTGAATTGCCTCTACCTTCGAGTTGATGTGCTCGAAAAATCTGTCTATATCTTGTGTTCTAAGCACAGTGACTGTGTCATCTACATAACTTCACCATACTTTTGGGGTGAGTGTGAACGTTTCAGTCGCTATGTTTTTCCACCTATCCATGAATATATCTGCTACAACCTGGGATATTGGTGATCCCATAGAAACTCCCACAGTTTGTTTGCATATTTTCCCTTGGAATTTAAATACTGTGGAAGCCAGGCATAGCTGCACTCCCAGCATTATGTCCTCAAGTGGCACCTTCGTCCTAAGTTCGAGTTCTTGGTCAGAAATGAGTTCGTATAGTCATATTTATTGGTATACGTGTATATAAACTGACAATGTCAAAACTAACCATTTTTTCTTCATTATCTAATTTTAAATTATCTAATCTGTGTTTTAGTTCATAAGAATTAGTTAGTCTAGATTTCGAGTGGATTTTTAGGGGATTTAATACCATGGCTAAATATTTAGATAATTCATAAGTAGGTGAATTTCTAACAACAAATATAGGCCTAATAGGGTATCCTGATTTATGAATTTTAACAACACCATACATCCTACTGGGGTTATTAGTTTTTGGTATTAAATTAAACCACTTAGACTCACCTAGAAAAGGCTTCATTTGATGTATAAGTTCCGCTGTGGATTTCTTAACTTTATTCATAACTGTCTATTGATTTATTAATTTCCTCATATGGTCCTGTTTGTATGTGAGTATTTACCTTGTCCGTGTAGTCTAATTTGTCTAATATTACTGTTGCATTTCCTTTGTGTGACTTTGTGATTACTATATCTTTGTTATTCTTAAGGTGTTTTAGGGCTTCTATCTCTTGTTTTGTCAGGTTAGGCTTTCCACATTTTTGTCGTTTTAATGTAAGTGCACATTGTGCACGTACTTCTTCAGCTGTTGTTTTGTCTATCCAATTTAGTGCTATTTCTATTTTAGGGTTTAGGAATGACATCCTCAGGTTTCAGCTTGTCCACTGATACATTGAAATTTAGTCCCTTTTCTAATACACTTATTTCTGTAGGACTCAATAAATGTGTTAGAGATTGATAACCTACTTTAATTTATCGATCGCCGTTGACTTTGGATTGTTGACATCATCGTTTTGAGATGAAGATTTCCCCTCTAATAATTTATTGAATTTTTTGATTTATTTTTTGACTTTTTGAAAGTTGCTGATTTTGCATTTCTGGAGGACTGTGTTATAAGATCATAGTCTACATTGGTAACTATTCCTATTAGCTTTTGCTTTCATTGCTCAATTTCACTTCTGATATATTCTAACTTTTTAACGATAATAATAAAACTGTTTCACTGTGTGATACATCTAATAAACAAACTAATATGGAATTACTTACTACCATAGTGCACAAGTTTTACACACATATATTAAATCAAAAATATTCAGAAAAATACCGATATGCGATTTGATCTCTAACTATGTGAGCTATCCAGGCAAACGACTGGTGATACAGAGAAACACAATCGCCCCGTCTCTACACTCCCCACGCATTAGGTTTTGCAAAAACACTTAAAATGATATACACAATTTGAGGTATTGACGACAGACACACTGTCGATTCGTTATTCTTTAGAAGAGTGATATTCATCACGGACTACACGAATATTACAGTTACAATTGACTAACTGACTGACCAATCAACACGGAACCTTCTACAGATATACACTAACTCGTTCTACTGAATAACGAGTCCTATAGATACCAATAAATTTAAAATATCTTGTTCCCTTTTTGATTTCGTTGTTTACTTTACGAAAAATTGGATTGTCAGATAAAAAGTGAATCACAATAAATAAATAAATAAAGAGATAATAGTAATAGTGATTAACAGTAGTTAGCAACATCCTACTTGATAATATATTCTTTGTAACAGTAGTGTTAATGACTCGATCAAAAAGTGCAAAAAATACTTGAAATATAGATGTCAGCTGTGTGCGCGCTAATTCGAAACCAACACGTAAACCAATAACAAAGACTACATCAATAAATTTGTATAAAACAGCACGACGTCCAACAACTCCACCGGGAAATGATATATCAAAGCGACCAGATATTCGTACAGCTTTGATGAGAACATCTTGTAGTACAGATTCCTAAATAATACAAAAATGGGACAGAAAATAATTTTATTGTATATTATTAGACTAATTGATTGTCTAATCAATAAAGATGATAACTTGGTGTGTTCTATGACTGTTTGGCGGTTTAATTGCAAAGCTTTTATTTCCCTTTTAGACAGATATTGTCGTCAGTGCTAACGTTTACTTTAAAGAACACACTAACACCAAAAACTATTTTACCTACTAATTATAATTTAATTCACAAAGAAAACAGGGGTTTTCCAGCTGTACTTTAAACAACTAGCATCACCAATCTCATTCCACTTTCTGTGCCCTACTTCAAACAGTCTTTTTCTATTGTACTAAACAAATCACTTTTAGAAACATATTGTTTCCCGGTATTAATTTAAAACAAGCAATAAATGTTAAAAAAAAGGGATTTCAATATAGCAAAAATATTCATTCAGACATCCACAAAACACAAAATAAGTGAACAAAGAATATCCTTTTCGATAAATTCCTCTTCGGGCTTTACAATTATATAGACATTTATATACATAGAATATTCTAGAATGGTAGTTAATAACAATATTAGTGTTTTTTAAATAATATCGATTTGTAAAGTAAGATCAATGCAATTACACTTCATTAAAGATGATTAAATAATAATAATAATAATAATAATAAAGATATTGTAGCGAATAGAATATTAACTAAAATTAAGAGAATTCCACAAAAATTCAGGATCACTCAAACCTGGATCGCCAGGGTAATCATAATGTCAGAACTAACTACTTCTGGATGCACAAATTAGGCTTGTTTATATGGATCCCCTCAGCCTGAGAAATATTTAGTAGTCGAACTCTTAAGGCTAAATTGAGATTCGTAGGTATGCGGTAAATGACCCTGAAAGCATGGTTAACGTTAATCTTGTGTTCTGTATGCACAAGATGAGATAGAATAGCGCTGTGAATAGATTTTGTTTGTCCTTTGCTTAACAACACAAGGTGATGTTCGGAAATTTGACGAGAAACACGCCTAATTGTATGGCCTATGTAACTGGCTCCACAGGAGCAGTTAAATTGGTAGATGCACATAGGTGAAATTAGGCAGTTTATTTTTCACTCCCGAAAGCAAAAGAGGAGTGGTTTTGTAAAACACAGTGTAATTCGGCAGCAGAGAATGCTCTTTTTATCCCACTAGTAACACTAATATTGTTATTGACTATTAATCTAGAATATTCGATGTATATTATAAACATATATAATTGTAGAGGCAGGAGAGGAATTTATCGAAAAGGATATTCTTTGTTCAATTATTTTGTGTTTTAAAGAGGGATTTAATAAATTCATCATCACCTGTAATACATTTTCGTCTGTCATTTCGCATGATTGATTCACTGTAGTTCATTTATCAATCACATATGTCCATATGTGCTTCTTATAGCATACATATCACTGTACCTGGATTACTCAGCTGAGGCCTTCTGCTGAAATTCAGTGAACCCACTAAATCCTGCTTTATTATCACTTATTGTGTTTTAAATTTTGAATAACTTATAAGCTAGCGTAAAAAATTGCTTCGCTTTTTATGTTACATTTGTTATCTTCTGAAGAATCGCTATATACCGTAATTTTCTTTTGAGTTTATCATACAGTTACATGCATATGTAACGGTAGAAGATGAAAAAATTGGTAAAGGAATGTTTATTTGAAATATGGTACCTCTATATAGGGAAATTATGTACACCTTATCTTCAAGTCACCCTTTGCACAGATCTTCCGCGTTGTGATACTTCTGGCCTTCATATTGTGTTTCTCTGCGCTCTTTTCACGTCTTCCTTGTATCTCCACAATGCTGTATCATTTACTTTCACTGATATCGAATCTACCTCCTGATATATGATGTTTTTATGCCAATGGAAGTCTCTTTATATACTACTGATAAATCTTGTCAGAAGTACACGACACACATATGGTCATTGATGTTGCTTACTATCGGTTCCAGATTACATCCTTCTTTTACGGAAACTTTAGCGATAACAGCGATATATACATCAATCATATCATCTAACACAAAGAAAACATGATTATGTCGTGTCAGCTTACAATCACAAATGTGCGTCGGTGGCACAGTTGTTAGGCCTCTAGCCGACCATGCACATGGTTCGAGGTTCGATCCCCTGCCGACTCACACCTGGTATTTATGGTCGGCCTGCAAAATTTGGGCTACCGATATCCATGCTGAAAATTCCATACTTGCACTAAAAATACGGTGTGGAATCAAGCTGTAGTCAAAGTTAAAAAATAATAATAACTTGTCTGAGATAAAAAAAACAGCAACATTGTAACGATCGATGCCTAAGAGTGTGAACCATTTACTCTGTGAAAAAATGTCCACTCAATAATCATGTGTGCACATGCATTTCAAAACGATCCACATTTACACTACGCCGTAGATGCTATTCATACCACCAGACTGTTGAAACCTCATTAGGCGCTGAATACGCTTTAAAATTCATGTTCAACTAGCTGAAAATGTATTATGTAAAAGAATACGCTCTTATCCTTGTTTTATCACAGTCAGAAGACTGAAATGCACCAGCTCCTAGCATAAAGATAAGCAATGAAATGGCAAGTTACATCTGCCATAATGCTGACTCATTGCTGACGAAATCTCATCACGGATATAAAAGGCTCAAGTGGTATTTTATTTATTTTTATTTTTGATTATAGCTTGATTCCACATTGTATTTTTAGTACATGTATGGAATTTTCAGCATGGATATCTATAGCCTAAATTTCGCAGGCCAACCATAGATATCAGGTGTGGGTCGGCAGGGGATCGAACCCCGGACCATGTGCATGGTCGGCGAGAGTCCTAACCACTGTGCCAACTGATGTCATTCCTAACGAAAACTTGATATCCTGTCATTGGTCCAAAGAAGTATATTAGGCACCCAATTTTGCTTCGCTGCCCTTTATGGCTGCGCAACATAGTATTGAGAGTGAAAGATACGAAAAGACTACCTGTATTTGACTGCAGATGTTTGCGTCCTAACTCCCTTGTTAAGTGGCACAGTATGGTGAGAAACATTAAGGTTAGGCATAGATTACTAGGTAAGGAAGGAGAGTAAGTGTTTGGGGTTGTAGAAGTACATCGACTGGAATGGGTAAGACAGGTATTGCTCATACTTAACCACTACCTTCCTCGTTGAGCAATGCTGGCTGGGGTAGGATTAAGCTGGTATCAGATCATGAAGCCTTTGACTGTTGGTTTGTTCTTCACCATACCAAAAACCAATGGTTGGAGACTATTAGTCATATGTCTCAAAATTGTTCTTAGTGGCGCAGATGCATTCACTCTCTGTCTGTTTTTGCACATATGTACGGCAGTTCACGTCGCCACACTCCTTCCTTGTAGCACACAAAGCAAGAGAAGAAAGTAGAAGAAATGCATAATAGGGACAGCAAACAGAGGTGTGAGACAAAGGAAGAGTAATAACGAAGAACAATATAGTTTCATTGGAAATTATAAGTCACAAGGAGTGGATGAATCTGCGTCAGCCATTGAGAACGATTTTGAGCCATATCACCAATTGTTTCCAGACCTTGGTTTTTACCATCACAATGACCTCAACCAAGCTGACAGTCTACACCTCCCTACCTGGATGGCTGACTTAAACTAACAGTTGTGGATTTCATTGGCTGATGAAGCTATGTTTTTGTTTGACCACCACTGGCCAGCTGTTTTCCAACCTGATCCGACGTCAGCTAACATCGCCCGTCGAGGAAAGCGGTGGCTAGGCTGGATTAGGCTAGGAATGCTTAACACATGTCTTAATCATCTCAATCGATGTAAATTGACAACCTCGTCGATTGATTTCTCCTCCTTACCTAGCACTCGACTGAGCTTAACCTCAATATTACTCGTCCTATTATACCACTTAACATGGGAGATAGAACTCAGGCATCTATGATCAAAGGCAGCTGGCCTTTTCTTATCTTCTACTTCCATTGGCCATATCTAACTGCCACAATGGAGGACGGAGCGGACTGATGAGCAGTATACCCGCCCTTTGATCGAAAGCCAGCCGGATATCACGTCTACGCCAGAGACGGCGTGAACTGGAATATTCGAAACTGGGCCTCTGTATCCGTGCTGATATTTCGTCAGAGATCTCTGTGATAACCCAGATCCATTAAACCGTGTTTTTTTTAAGTTACTATTCTTTCTGCCTCACAATTTTCTCTCCTTTGTCCACCTGTGTGTGCTAAATGGAGTGTGGTAACTTGAAATGCTGTACTTTTGTGCAAAGTTCTATGTTGAAATTCAGTGAGTAAGTCAGTCAAAAATATACCACTTTCATATAAGGTTAAGTTATCTTTTTAAGAATTCTAATTACCTGTCTACTTTATCTGTTTGATATCACCAATCAAGTAAGAATATATTAAACACACATGTAAAATATTAATTACAGATTACTTTATCTCACTTGTAATTGTTCAACTAATTCACTATCCGGTAAATACATGATAATTTGATAGAACAACATAAGAGCTGCGATAAGTCTAGCCAAAGTACGATAATTCCATACAACTGGTAGTGTAGAAATGCTTATTTGATTAAAATTTTCTGTTAAATCAGCAGTAGAACAGTTCGTAGTGCTATTATTATTACTATTACTACTATTATTGTTATCAGTAGTCGTAGTGGCATTGTTGTTGTTGCTGTTGTTTCCACGTAATAAACAAGCAATAATTGAATTGACTGTTTTTATTACAAATGGTAAATAGATATCCAATACAAATGATACTCCATATATTTGTACAAATTGTTCTAAACACCTGAGAACACTTGATGCTGAACGATCACCAATTAATGGACGATTATTAATTTGCAAGGGAAACATGATATGTTTCTCTGATGAAGGCATATTGGCAATGTTAACAGATAATTGATTTTTACCCTGATATTATATTAAATAAGTGATAGGAGAAAGAACATATAGTGAAAATATACACTGGGAAGAAAATATCAAGCATTTTATTATAAAATCATAAGCGGAAATACACTCTGTTAAGCATATATAATGATTAACTTATCCGGGTGTGTGTGTATATATATGCTACAAATAAAACAAATTTCTGCTACGTAGGAGTAGTGAAAACTGACTTTCATCGCTTTTATTATTTGATGAGAACAAATTGATGATTAAGTATTGATCTTGGAAAATACCCATATGGACATTAGAAAGAAGAGAACACGAAGTTCAGCAAAGATATCTTTTCGGCGATTTCATTCTCAAAAGCTGTACAATCGCATTTATATAGATTATTTTAACATGGATAGAATTATTATTTGTTTAATTTCACATAGTAACGAAGGTGATAATAATTTTCAACTTGATATGATAGTTTGAAGGTACGAATATAGATTACAAGAGGCTTAGAGACAAGATTTCATAGGATTAGAAAATAGTTACAACGTATGCAAAAAATTAATATTTGATAACTGGAGAAATAATTTTAAAGGCGAATCGAAGGTGATAATTATTTTCGACTTGATATGAATTACAAGAGGTTTAGAAACGCAGGGATAGGACGAACTACAGGTGTGAACAAAATGAGCATGGAAACAAATTGAAATCAAAATTTTCAACTTGACATGTTAGTTAGGAGGTATGAATATAGATTACAAGAGGCATAGAAACAAAAAATTACACAGGATTAGAATATAATTGTAGAATGGTTATTTTAAACGGATTACAAGTGTGATCAGGAGGAGTATGGAAACAAAATTAAAATAACTAGTTTTTTTAACTGAAAAAATAATTTGAGCCTGAAATGAAAGTTAGGACGTGTGAATATAGATTACAAAAGCCTTAGAAACACAAAAATTGCACAATATTAAGATATAATTGTAAAATAGTTATTTCAAACGAATTATAAATGTGAACAGGGAAAGCATGGAAACAAACTTAAAATAACTGTTTTTATAGCTGAAAAAAAAATTAGGTGGATTAAACGAAGATTGAGGGACTAAGAATCAGACACACAGCGAACGAAAAATGCTCTAAAGGAAAAAACAAGAACGAAAACAGACGAGGAAGAGAAAAAAAAGACGGAAACAAAGGGAACATACCAAGCTAGGTCCATGGTAGTTGTAGAGGTTGGACTAACTTCTTTTGAACACACAGCTCCGGCTTCTCGATGCATATTGCGAGGGCTTCTGCAGTACAAAGAAGTCGGAAACATATTGCTTTTGGTAGGTTTCTGTTGACTTTGTAAATCACTTTGAAAGAATCGGTTGAGATTTTGTGGGAGGTGTTGACCAGATGTTCAATAATGGCACTTCTGATTGAACCGGTGCCTCCTCTTTGCAGCCACGCTGGGTAGTGTTCTCTAACACGTTTTGAGAGGACGCGCATACAACGACCTATGTACCTAGCTCCGCACGAGCAAGTGAACTGGTATATGCACATTGAATTGGTCATATGCGAAAGTTTGTCCTTCGTGTTGTTTCGAAGTATTGGGCGGCTAGAGAATGTCACTCTTAGTGTTGCTGCAGGGAAGGTCTTCTTTAGAGAGCTGGATATTCTCCTCTTCAGGATATCAGCTGCCAAATCTCCCTTGAAATTCAGATTTAGATACAGCGTTTTCTTTGGCGCTGAATCGCATTCTTCTCTTTTAGGTTTAGGTTTCATGTTCTTTTCGACAAAACGTGTCGGGTAGCCATTTTGAGCCAGGATATTTTTGAGGAATAGGAGCTCCTCTTCCATGCAATCGTTGCTGCAGATTTTTCTAACGCGATGGGTTAGTGCGCTGATGAGGGCTCGTTTTCGGCTCAGAGGTATCCAACTATAGAAATGCGTTAGTTGGCCATTCCATGTCGGTTTTCTGTGGATGGACCTCTTCAGGGTTCCATCATCTCTTCTTGTCAATTCCACGTCCAGAAATGGAATCTTTGAATCGCTTTCTAACTCCATTGTGAATTTAATCGAAGGATGGGAATTATTGAATTCTTGTAAGATGCAGTTGAAGTCCGAGTTCTCGTAGCAGACTATAAAGGTATCGTCAACGTACCTTTTGTATAGTATTAATTTGTTTATTGTTGATTTTAAAACTCCACTCTCCAAACTGGCCATAAAGCAGTCTGCTAAAAGCGGGCCAAGAGGAGATCCCATTGCAATTCCATCTTTCTGTCTGTAGATGTCGCCGTTGAAGGTGAATTGTACATTCAGCGTGCATCTCAGCAACAATTCCTTCAGATATGATATTGGTACTCCGACGTTTATATTAGATTTCTCCATATAATTGCACAGAAAGCAAATTGTTTCTGTTAGTGGCACGTTGGTAAAAAGAGATTCAACATCTAGTGATAGCATTCGTTTATCATTTACATTCAAATCTTTTATGCATTCGATGAACTCAAAAGTATCACGAAGAGAGTATTTGCATAGGTGTTGTCTTACCGGCTCCAACATTTCGGACAACCATTTGGCGATTGGATGGTATGGTGACCCTGACATGTCTAGAATCGGTCGAAGCGGCAAGCCAGGTTTGTGCACCTTTGGTAAGCCGTAGAGTCGGGGAATAGTTGATCCTGTCGGTTTGAGGCGGTCAAACAGGTCTTCAGATATCAGACGATCGTTCTTCATTCTTCTGAGAACATCTGTTAGTTGTCTTTCAATCAGTTCTGTCTTGTTTTTCTCATTGTCGGGCTTGGCAAATTTCTTGTCATCTGATATAAGTGTTGTCAGTTTGTTAATATATACATCTCTGTCCATTAGGACCACTCCTGATCCTTTGTCAGGACGTGTTATTATTAAATCTTTATTGTCTCTTAATTCTTTGAGTTGTTTTCTATGTTCTTTTGTCAGTAGACGTCGGGCTTGAGATTTTAGGCTAAGATATTGATTACAGCAATCGAAGATTGTTGACTTAAAGTGTAGAAAATCTGCGTCAGAGACTGGAGTAATATCATGAGTTTGGCTTATGAGGTTCTCGAATTGAATATACGTATGAAGTCTGTTGCTGTTAAGATTAACATCACAGAATTTTAGTCCAAGAGATAAAGCTTCTAGTTGTACCTTTGATAACGGAACTGAAGAATGATTGAAAACAAATTTATTAGGATCGCTGGGGAATTTATTCTGGACTTCCACGGGCTTCAGGCTTTTGTTTAGATCTGATTTAACATATTCCGCTCTTCTGTTCTGCACCAGAGTAAGGTATTCATCGAACGATTGTCTCTCATCTGAAGATAATTCACAAAGAGCGGTAGATCGCTGTGATATGTTTCTTTGCAATTCAAAAATACGTAAACTTATAGAATCGATGACGTTTCTGGTGTGACGTTGAAGAGTTTTTGAATTAGGATATATATGATGTCTCCGCAGCGCTTTCCAGAACCATTTTGGATATTCACGATTAGTAATACAGCTCTCGAGAAATACCAATTTTGCATTAACTTCGGCAAGTTTGACAGAGTAACGTAGAAACCCGTTGAGTTCCTTCACTGTCGAAGGGTCCTTGCTCTTTTTAAGTTCTTGGAAAATACCCATATGGACATTAGAAAGAAGAGAACACGAAGTTCAGCAAAGATATCTTTTCGGCGATTTCATTCTCAAAAGCTGTACAATCGCATTTATATAGATTATTTTAACATGGATAGAATTATTATTTGTTTAATTTCACATAGTAACGAAGGTGATAATAATTTTCAACTTGATATGATAGTTTGAAGGTACGAATATAGATTACAAGAGGCTTAGAGACAAGATTTCATAGGATTAGAAAATAGTTACAACGTATGCAAAAAATTAATATTTGATAACTGGAGAAATAATTTTAAAGGCGAATCGAAGGTGATAATTATTTTCGACTTGATATGAATTACAAGAGGTTTAGAAACGCAGGGATAGGACGAACTACAGGTGTGAACAAAATGAGCATGGAAACAAATTGAAATCAAAATTTTCAACTTGACATGTTAGTTAGGAGGTATGAATATAGATTACAAGAGGCATAGAAACAAAAAATTACACAGGATTAGAATATAATTGTAGAATGGTTATTTTAAACGGATTACAAGTGTGATCAGGAGGAGTATGGAAACAAAATTAAAATAACTAGTTTTTTTAACTGAAAAAATAATTTGAGCCTGAAATGAAAGTTAGGACGTGTGAATATAGATTACAAGAGCCTTAGAAACACAAAAATTGCACAATATTAAGATATAATTGTAAAATAGTTATTTCAAACAAATTATAAATGTGAACAGGGAAAGCATGGAAACAAACTTAAAATAACTGTTTTTATAGCTGAAAAAAAAAATTAGGTGGATTAAACGAAGATTGAGGGACTAAGAATCAGACACACAGCGAACGAAAAATGCTCTAAAGGAAAAAACAAGAACGAAAACAGACGAGGAAGAGAGAAAAAAAAAAGACGGAAACAAAGGGAACATACCAAGCTAGGTCCATGGTAGTTGTAGAGGTTGGACTAACTTCTTTTGAACACACAGCTCCGGCTTCTCGATGCATATTGCGAGGGCTTCTGCAGTACAAAGAAGTCGGAAACATATTGCTTTTGGTAGGTTTCTGTTGACTTTGTAAATCACTTTGAAAGAATCGGTTGAGATTTTGTGGGAGGTGTTGACCAGATGTTCAATAATGGCACTTATGATTGAACCGGTTTCCATGCTTTCCCTGTTCACATTTATAATTCGTTTGAAATAACTATTTTACAATTATATCTTAATATTGTGCAATTTTTGTGTTTCTAAGGTTCTTGTAATCTATATTCACACGTCCTAACTTTCATTTCAGGCTCAAATTATTTTTTCAGTTAAAAAAACTAGTTATTTTAATTTTGTTTCCATACTCCTCCTGATCACACTTGTAATCCGTTTAAAATAACCATTCTACAATTATATTCTAATCCTGTGTAATTTTTTGTTTCTATG